GACATCGAACACCTAAAGTGCTTAAATGCATATCCTTGTACATACTGATGATTCACTGGTGCACATAAGGTTTATCTGAGCTTTCTCGAACCATTTACACAACAGAAGTTAAATTATGATTTTTAACTGAAAAAAAACTGAAGACAATGAAGGTCTTGGTTACCTGTAGCAAACGTGTAAGTTTACTTTCTCTATACGGTATATGAGGAGCGTGTTCCACAAGTGAAGTTATTACACGACCCAGAGTCAGTAAACTTTGATTGATTGACCCGGCCTCACGTGCTCGTTTTTCAACAGCACCTGATCTCCCAACATTTTCACTGCCAGCAAGGTCTACTAAGTGCAATTTTCCAATACGCAGCAATTCTTCACTAGTAATCGCATTTATTTCCTTTATATGGACAGTAACCGTGAAAATAGAGTGCGAGCGACTAAAAGTAAGAGACTAATTCCACGTACCTGGACTGAGCATTTAAAAGAGTACAAGCGGTTTGACGCCTAGCAATTCCTCGCTCAATAACACTGTAAACGTCATCCTTGTCCAAAACCACTACCTCCCGAAGGCCTTTGACAATAACAGAGCCCTTACGGTTTACATCGTCGTATATTGTTAAACGTGTGACATCCTCACTAGCAGACAGAAGGTCAAATAACTCCTCATTATAAACTTCTAGGAAAGATACGCGAACAGAAAAGTCAGAACCCTGGAGGATTATTACTTTCGTTAAGGACAACATACATTTGATTGCAGAGTTTCAAACAAGTGACTTAGGGCGCGAGGAATAATCCCTGCGAGTGGATCCGTTTCCCACTCATAACGAAGCTTGTCAGACCTTTCACCAGTCATCGTAAATGTTTTACCACTACCTGTTTGACCATAACTATAAAGGTTAATTAGATGCATTAAAGTTTACGCGAAAATTGTGCAATTATAGCCCAAAATTATTTCCTCAATCATTGGAGCAACCATACTTTTGTAGACGTCGATTTGCTTCGAGTATTGATTGAAGACATGATCAAAGGTGAAAACCTTTGACATACTTTTATCCCTGACTGTCACTTTTTCCCGGCTACACTCCACACATGACCGCACGGCCTTTTCCAGCTCCTGCTTATTGATAGGCCTGACCAGAATCAACACATTAAATTTGGGTGACATACCGACAACGAACCGCTACTCGAATATTTTGTTGGCACTCTCGAGTCGACATCATTCGAAACGAAACAGGCGCTTAAGAAAAATAAGGTTTTAGTTGATACGGTCAAACACGTCAAACGGCAAACTTTAAACTCTAACAGTTAGAGTAAGACGAGTATTTTTCTCCGTGATATGAATTCGAATAGTAAGAGATAGGTTTTGGATACAGAGTTATGTTACTTGAAACTGTGTGGCAAGAACAAATTAGTCAATATTAGGAATAGCGAGATGTAACACGATAAGTACCATGATAATTAGTGGAAACATTTTACATTCACGGGACTACAAGATTATTCTGTCAAGCGTTATCTGACGGAATATGTGAATATCAAGTGAATTACTTCAACCCAGTTGAGTGACTAATTCAGGTATGTTGTGTTTTAGTCATTTTACTGTTTTTGTCTGGTTGATTGCCAAGATTTCTATCTTTTGATCAGTTTTTATCATCATATCGGTCTATAAAAATTTGAGACGTGTTGACTGACTCTTTGGATTTTTTGGATTTACTTCAATGCATATTAGGCTGGTCTACGGTAATACTTGATGTATTCTATCCCGAAGCAATTACTAGTGAAACTAATGTTAATGTCGATATAAAGAGAATTCGGTTATGGGGATGTCTGGTTCTAGTATAATTCCAATAGTAGTATAACATCACTCAACTAGTATCTGTTCAGTTCTACGTCCTTTGATTACCGTTAATACCACCGTAAATTTCAGTTTATTCAAATGCTGGAATATGCATTCAAGACTATTTGAATTGGGGTTCTTAACTAGTTTATTCATTCTCAATCGGTTAGTTGAAGATGACTAATATAATAGCAACTACACCTCATTTGCTACATCAATAGGGTAAACATAAGTCCTTCATGTGAAAGACTCCGCAGGATGGGACGTTATCACTGGACTCGGTAGGGAAACCCACAACTTACCGACTCGAACTGTGAAACGTATTGCCTAGATTTCTGTGGCCTCTCTTTTTCGTTGTGTCTCAATCAACTTTCCTCTTAAATTTTATAACTAAAGGATATCCGTGACCTGGTGGAGTGAAAGGTATGATGACCAATATGATATATCAAGATTACACGACAAATAATATGTCCACACGGCACTGGTTTGCAATTCAGAGATTTTAGACGTCATGAGTGTGGTCTATATCCTAGATTGAGTATCTTCTTGGTCACGCTTATTTGAACACGTTTCAAGGAAATGATATTTTTCGTAAGGTAAGGGAATAAAATAGTCAACTCGGACAAGTGTCCCTAGACAAATCTATGGATCTAATACGAACATGATGGTTATTGTTCAGCGAGATCACCAAGCTTTTTATTTACCCAACTGGATTATAATACAGGATTTATCGAGCAAAAAACTATGTTGCGATGTAGAAAGTACAGATTAGTTATAAGATAGTTAAGGAGACTTACCATTTGTTCTTTCCATAACCTTCACGACTTTGTTGGGCCAGTGAAATTTCACTAAGCCCTAGCCAAAGCAATGGCAGTATGGAAATCGACATCAATTCACAATACACTTATTCTACTATCGCTATAGCATCATCACTCTTGCGGCAAACTGGACGTTTCGCATTGGAGGAACTGAATTACTTGTCAAAGCTATATATTTCAGCGCGACTTGATAGAACAATTAAACGCTTTGTTCTTTTCATTATTTCCATGGTTACACGCTTTACGTTTGATCAACGTCCTACTAACATATTATTACTCGCTGTTTCCCCAATCAGTTTCTGACACCTACTTTCCATTTTGTTTTACAGCTCGGCAATACCCGGAGGATTCATATGAATCGTTTGGTAATCTCCGGTGCGCAACTACTCCCAACGTGTTTGGTACCAATTCAAACGGCTGTTGAATCTGGTGGGGGGAGTATTGTAGGGCCAGCGAAATGTCACTAAGCCCTAGCCAAATCATCTGTAATAACGTCCGCTGTGTTGTACAGTCTTCAAAACATCTATGGTACCTTGATACGTCGATGAGGTAGCCCACGTAAGGTGCTGACTATGAGGTGTGACTTCGACATTAGCTAGCTTGTCACATCATTCACGTCTGACTCGAATAGGCCTCTAATCATTCCGACATAGATCATCTATGTTGGTGATTTACAACTTCATATAGCAGCGAAATCGGTTGGTAGTTGTAGGCTTTCACCTTGTCTTCTTTGTGCGAGTGTAGAAACGAACTCTTTCCAACGAAAGTAATCCATTCGTGCAATGAGCAATTGAGTTAGGAGTAGAGGGGACAGTATCGATCACCACATTCTATTAGAACTCTCAGCCTGAGTATATAAAAACCAGGAGACTATATGACTTCGGACGCGTCAAGAGTGACTTGATTTTAGAGACTCACAGTCCGATGTTTTTATTTTGCCGTGGTGATGGATGAACAGATAGTTTATGGATAGCACTGTTAGGAAGGTAGAAACTAGTGGAAAGTTCTTTGGATCTTAGCCCAAGGGTGGCAATATTTTGTGTACTACCCCGGTTCATAATAAGTAATGTGGTGTGAACCTGGCTCTTCAAAAAATTGTGTATGGTATGCTTTATCAGACGAAATTGACAGGTTATTCTGTCATATAAGTACGCCTATTATGTATTGATTTATAGTTCGACCAGCTACATGCAACGTTGTGGTGATGTCATTCATCCCAGTAGCGTGCCTATTGCTGATACATCCGCGGGAACTAGATTTAAGCTCGGTGAATAGCTGAGTTTTCGTGTATGAAATGTTAACAAAACCTCAGATTGCTTACAAATGCCGTAGTCATAGATTATTATATAGTGTGCATATAACTGGTAAATCAGTCATGGAGATAAAAAAGTAATCAAAGGCAAGGTTGCTTAGTTCCAAAAGCTATAAGACTAATAAATCATTAACTTCCGATAATCGGTTCAGTCCAGCCTATAGCATTGTTCATCTAGTCTGAAGCGGGTAAGCTGAGGTGCGTTTCAAATGAGCCTACTCCTGTTATCTAGTTTCCAATATCGAGATTAAGTTTGAAATAGGTAAATAAAAAGAGCTTAGAAGCGTTTGACTCACCCCAGGGGAGCAGGAGCTTCGGGTGATCTCGAATATACACACAATGGTCAGGATTCAAGAACAAACTTCACACTGCTTTACGTTACACCATATGTCACTGATGCTGGTAATGTCGATTTTGCGTGGGTTGATGTGTCAATAATGACCGTATCGGGTCGGTCATTTGAAACATGTGGATATTGTCACTGACAGTTATGTTAAGACAAGCCTCATGCAGGACCATTGTACATAGGTGCTTATCGTGTACTAGTTCTCTGAGTTCGAAGATTACCAAACACAGACATTTGAAACTAAAATTTAAATACAGAATGTAAGAAACACACTGACGAAGCAATCTGTATCTGAGTGCACGGCTCAGTCCAGCAGTTAGCTTATTTATGGACTGATGCCACGACTTGACATGGTCTTCCAAATCTTTTTTATGACTTACTCCTACAACATTTATCATCGTGCATCAAAAGAAACAGTGGACAGACATACGTGTTACGTGCTGCAGTTATCTCAGTTGGTATAGACCTGTAGAATTATGGTCTACTACTATATTAGTACTGCTCTAATAATAAACCTAACCCTAAAATTGTAGATTTGTCATGATATAACTACCTTATCTATAAGATGTTACGTGGAAGTCACATCATAGTCTACACCAACTCATCGCATCGTAAGTCACCAATACATGATGGAGAACAAGCTTTGTCAACCCCGAGAAATACAAAAAAATGTAAGTTCAACCCACAATCTCCGCGGAACTCTATGAAAAAGAAATTATATTTTCAAAGTATGAGTAAATCTAAGCACAAAAGACTATCCAACACAAGAAATATATTAGTTAAATAGGCCACAACTTTCTAGGTAGGTAAATTTTCGATGTAGCAGTAATGGCGGTTATATCACTATGGATGTGAGAAAAATAATGCAACTCAAAAAGCAAAGAATCTAAAGGAAGATTACAGTATGACGCACACGGCAACATGAAATAAATAAGTATAAATGAACGTTCAGTAGTAGGTCATAGAATAAAATTTCATACACTTTCAGAGTTGTAAATAGAAACCATTAACAATTATTCTTTATAAAAATATGATATTATGGAAATATAAATATACATGCTTCTTAGTGAAGGTAAATACAAAGAAAAGCAAAGATTAAAATAAATCACACTTATTGAATGGAAATAGAGACAACAGTTTATGGAAGTAACTAATTATTATTAAAGAATACTGCAGACATTGAGTGTGCAAGATGAATAAAGACCAAATAACATAGAGACAATAGCTGCATGTATATCGAACAGGAAAACACGAAGTTATGGTCGAAAAATAGGTGACGCCAAGTCGTACCTTAAATAGAAAGAAACAAAAGCTCAACATTCCATTTTACTTTAGGCATAAAGAAGCTAAAAACTGGTGCAACATTAACTAATCAGTAGAAATAGAAAACTTATATAGGACGTTATTTAGTAAAATCAACCTTGGCGGTTCACCAGCCAATCAGAAAGATGTTTATTCATAGAAAAGATTAGTGATAGGAAGCAATACAATCACAGTGAAAAAAGTAGTTTCGATATGATATAACGACCCTTACAAGTTGAGTTGTTTATTATAGTAAAAGAAAAAGATTTAGAATTAAATAATGGGAGCTTAGATAAATCTATGAGTTAGGGTAAGAATGGTTGTGGTTGGGAGCTTTAAAATAGGAAAATACGCTTAGGCCATACAAATGTCTTTGACTATAGATTGAGTCATTTCAAGTATTCTAATTTATAAGCTGCATTAGTGAGCAGAGATTTCATTTAATCTAGTTTACGCACAATCTCATATTCACTATGTGGTTGCGTAAAAGGTATTTACATCAATTCTCAGTATTTTTATAACTAAATGTTGACGATTTCCCTTATTCTTAATAAGACACATGCCGTCTCTCACTGCGATCTGAATTTTGCACAAAGCTTGAGATGTTACTATGAATTTAATTGGTCCATTTAAGATCGTCAGTATAATTTAGTTTTACCCGTTATTTGATTTGAACTGTAGGGGAAACATCCATTTTGTTAAGCACCGAAAGTCAAAACAAATACTGACAAACAAAAATTAAACATTACATGAACGTCATAATGGTTTCTCAGTTGCGAGGAATATAGTTTTAGAAGAATAATCCTAAAATATATCATGAACAAAAAATAATTTGTCTCGAAACATGCAGAAAATATTTAATGGTATACAAGTGTAGTTGGTTACAACCAAAACCTTTCACACTTGGAAGTCGATGAATTTGTTGTTAACTCTTGTGTTATTAACCTGATTAAATAGCTTGATTTATATTATTTTCCAAGGAAAATCTCGCTTCATTTAGTCGCAAAGTTTCCAATAGCAGATAGTGCTTCACTTTAGAAGCCAATTGGTGAAAAAATATTTAAAGATAGACATTAATCAATGAACCAGATTCATAAAACATCATAAAAGATATCATTAGTTGAATAGATGTACCTTCACATAGGCAGAAACCATCAGGTTGAAGTGACTAAAAATAATCTGAACAATGAGCTTATCCGACTCCACCCCCAAATGCCCTGGTATGGCCGAGAGTGGGGTGGGCCCGCCCTCCCCCTCGAAATGCTCTCACACGGCCACGCGTATACAGCCTCTCCCAGGGAAGTCATACTTATCGCCTTCTCGTGGCGGGGGTGTTGTTTACGAAAATGAGAGGACGAAAAGCGAATGTCCGGCGCTTTAACCGGATTCCAAACCAATGGTGCACATGGGCTCCAGTATCCTGCGGGAACAAATGGCGTATGAACCAATCGTTGGTCACCGGCTACCATGGAACTGCATCTCCTCGCGATGCTCCACTGCCTTGTGGATCAGACCTTCAGGTCGAAGGCTCGGGGTGTGGCCCCCTAAGATAACCACCTGCTTCGGTCTGGGCATCCGAGCAGTATCACAGCCCACACACAAATATGATGAACTGTCGATAATTATGGAAAATACTTTTCTTGCTTCAATTAACAATCAAACGATTCACATTATTATTATTACTATTGTTATTATTTACTACGTCAGTTATTCACTCTCTTTTATTCCTACTCTTTCTATCCTTATTTTTCGACTTATACAGCAGCTCGCCTATGGTGGAAATTCGGTTCTATCTAAACGTTCTCGAGTAGAGACGTTATCAGATATGGCTCAGAATAGAAGCCAGTGGCGATCCTGCTGTAACCTTTTAATTTCTTCATAAAAAGTGGTTGCTTCTTCCTTAACTGAAAGATCTCTTCTGAGTGTACGTTTCTGTTTCCCCCATTATTATTATTACACTACCTTACACTAATCTGTTCGTTATCGTTTTTTTTACGCCCCTTACCTTTTTTTTCCTTTTCTGCAAATTCTCATTGTTTTGTGTGGCGCATATATTTATGGTGCCCTCTTGTACCAATATTTATGTGTTCAAATAAATAAATAAATAAATAATCCATATATTGAGGGACAAAATAACTAAACATGATATCCACCATGTGTTTAGCTGAAATTCAACTATCCCGATTGAAAGTAATCTCTGAATACATGTATGAATACATTTTCCCAATAAGATTGGATTTTATGAAGATAAAAAACACATATGGTGTTTATATGAATGCTAAATATTTCACAAGTGGAGTGAAATACTTCGATAGTTATGATTATTGCCTTAGTTCTAAAAAGCAATACAAACATCTACATAAGCATATTTATTTAAAAAGAAACAATAAGAAAATAAAGCATTAACCTTACCACTTAGTATCAGCTTTCCCGTCTACTGAATCAATAAGATTTATCGACAAAGTTCCGATGAAATGCGTTTTTCCACTACGTGTAAAACGCCCAACGTGATTTTTGATATCCAACCTTAGAATGGTCAATGGAAGGTGGTCAGCCTCAATGGGAAACTGAAAACTGAAGTATAAAAGAGAGGAAAATAATATCAAGTAGACGTAATTAATAGACAGTTGTATATAAAGAATGACTGAAGGTAATACACTGTGAGATCAGTACTGTGTGTTTTCTGAAACCGAAGTTAATAAACAGAGTAGTAGTGGTACTGATCTGAGACTACCACGTTTTTAGATAATACTATAGTTTAAATAACACAGATTTTTAAAGTATATGTAAAATGTGATCGATAGACGAACCCAACAATAATAAAGTGAAACGCCCACCACCACATTAACTCCCTTTGACCTTGTGCGACTGTATCTCTTTATTAACCAATCACAGTTTCATGTTCATTGTAAAACAATATTTGCTTTGTTGACTCATTTTTACTATTCTCTGGCTACTGTTCGGTATGTTATTTGTCTCTGTTTTTCCCTGTATTAATAGACCGTACTGTTTGTTTGTACACTAACGATGTTAATTTATGTTTTAGAAACAGATAAAGTTTGTCTAGCCAAATAGCTTGCTTGTTCTGACTTTGGCCAAATCAAGACTCTGTATTCGACGGTCTAGGGAATAGCTCAGAATTAAACCTGTAGGAAATTGCTTCCTACAGTATATGTTTCATGATCTAACAATATTCATCAAAGGCACTTTTCCAACAAAACTGTTTTTAGAGTGAACAGAAAAAAACTTCGAACGGTATAGTACCTGATCCGGAAAGATAGGGACACTCGTCGTTGCCTCTTCGTCGTCTCTGCCTATTCTCCCACTGACTGCAGCTCAGATGATGTAAAAGATGAGTTTTACAGAAAGCTTTCGGACCTTCTCCGAAAAGCTAGGCGCTCGGATGTAGTAATAGTGGCCGGTGACTTTAATGCTCAAGTAGGTAAACTAAGCGATAGGGAAAGACACCTAGGTGGATCTTATGGTGTCGTGGCTCAAAGAACAGATAATGGCGACCGTCTGTTGCAGCTATGCTCAGATAACCGCCTGTTCCTTGCAAATACTAACTTTAAGCATAAGGAAAAACATCTTTTAACATGGCGACCCCCTAATTCGTCCCAACGTTGGACCCAAATAGATCACATCGCTATCAGCCACCGATGGAGGGGCTCGATAGAAGACTGTCGCTCATTCTGGAGCACATGCCTAGATTCAGATCATGCTCTAGTGCGAGCGCGTATTTGCTTGCGTCTTACTGGACGTAGGAAAGACGCTGCAAGGAAACCTCTTAGGGCCTACTTAATGATAGTCAAGCTAAGAGTATATTTCAGGAACAACTAGGAAAACAGTTAGGCAGCCATGTATGTGATGCCCACCCCGATGCAGCATGGAATGATATCCGAAAAGCTGTGGAAACAGCAGTGATATCTGCTAGTAAGGTAAACCAGAAGGTTAGGGAGCAACACTGGATCTCAGCAGCATCTATCGCACTGATAGATGCTCGGAAACTCATTCCACCTGGCTCTGAACATAATGAAGAGCGGAGTCAGCTTAAGCGCAAGCTGACAAGAAGTCTACGCAATGATCGCGAACAGTGGTGGGTAGCGAAAGCAAGAGAGATGGAAAAGGCAGCGGCAATAGGTAATAGCAGACAATTGTTCAGACTCGTTAAGGAAACCGGAATTAGGAACCCGACCGTTAGCGAAACAATCTCAGAGAAAGATGGACATATTATTCATTCTCAATCCAGGAGATTGGATCGATGGGCAGAACACTTTAGGGATCAGTTCAACTGGCCTTCAGCCACACTTCGGTTTCCCACGATCTCCAGTCAACCTGAATGGCAAGTTAATGTAGGTCCTCCGTCCCTTTACGAAGTTGAAAAAGCCATAGGAAATCTGAAACGAGGGAGAGCAGCAGGCCCTGACAGGTTTACTCCTGAGATTTTTAAGGATGGTGGTCCAGTATTAGCAATGAGATTAACTGAGGTCTTAGGTAGAATTTGGGAACTGGACGTAATCCCATCTGACTGGTCTCAATCACTGATTGTGCCAGTCTATAAGAAAGGACAAAAGTCCTCTTGTGACAATCACAGAGGAATCAGTTTGACTAATATAGTGTCTAAAATATTAGCTTCAATAATACTTCGACGCCTAATCAAAGCTCGTGAAGAGCAGATTAGAGAAAACCAGGCCGGTTTTCGACCTGGACGTGGTTGTATAGATCAGATATTCACACTACGTCAGGTTCTAGAACACAGACACACATTCAGACGCCCCACAATGGTAGTATTTCTCGACCTTAAGGCGGCATTCGACTCTGTTGATCGTGAGGTTCTATGGCAGTGTTTGTCACTGAAAGGAGTACCAAAGAAGTACATTAACCTTATAAAGGCTCTCTACTCGAACACAACTGGTAGAGTGAGAGCTTATGGCGAACTGTCATCAGAATTGATTACCTCAAGTGGTGTTCGTCAGGGCTGTCCACTCTCCCCATTCTTGTTCAACTTTGTGGTCGACGTACTTTTAGAGATAACACTCTCCTCATCTAAATTTCCAGGGGTTGAACTTCTACCGGGAGGTTCACTTGTTGACTTAGAATATGCTGATGACATAGTTTTATTTGGTGAAGACGCTGACAAAATGCAGAGTCTTCTGACCACTCTAAGCAACAATGCAAGCATGTTCGGGATGCGATTCTCTCCCTCGAAATGCAAAATGTTGCTTCAGGATTGGGTTACATCGACACCCGAACTAGTGATAGGGAGTGAAGTAGTTGAGTGTGTCGACCGCTTCACTTATCTTGGAAGTCTCATCAGCCCTTGTGGTTTGGTGTGTGACGAAATCTCAGCACGGATACAGAAGGCTCGACTAGCTTTTGCCAACTTGCGTCATTTATGGCGTAGGCGAGATATCCGTCTATCAACCAAAGGACGTGTTTACTGCGCAGCAGTTCGTTCCGTCCTACTTTATGGCAGTGAAACATGGCCGGTAAGAGTAGAGGATATTCGTAGGTTACTAGTATTTGATCATAGGTGTCTTCGAAACATTGCTCGTATATCATGGGACCATCGAGTAAGTAACACAGTTGTTAGGAAACGGGTACTAGGTAAGGATGGCAAATCAATTGATGAAGTAGTGAAACTTCATCAGTTGAGATGGCTGGGACACGTGTTACGTATGCCCAACGACCGACTGCCTCGACGTGCTATGTTCAGTGGTATAGGAGTAGGTTGGAAGAAAGCTAGGGGCGGCCAAACCAAAACATGGCACAAGTCCATGAAGTCACTGACAAGTGGACTGGTAGGTGTAGACTACCTGGTTGGGGACCGCGAGATGATAGCAACCGATGGTTAGAGACCCTGAATGACATGGCTCAAAATCGTTTGCAATGGCGCAGGTGCATCCACTCTCTGTGTTCTCCCAAATTCTAATCTTCTGAATTCTTCATGTCCCTTTTTTCCTCTTTCCAAATTTATTTCACTGGATTATACTCTTTAAATAACATCTCCAAACCCTAATCTTCCCGATTACTGCTTATACTCTTATTACCTCTACCACTACGGGATTTGAATCGACAACTGCATCTCTGTGCTAATGTGGTGTGGCAACTCGAACTGATGTACGTACGTACGAAGTTCTACGTTGTTACTGACTGACTGATAGTACCTGAACACAGCATATTAATTTGGCGAGTACAGTCATTTTCGTAAATATTTAAACGTACGTATATATTCCATAAATACAGATGGAAACTATAACATGTGAGATATTACCTATCATTTTTATGTATTGAGTAACAGATGAGGAGAAAAACCGTTAATTAAAACTGAAACATTGTTACTTATAATTTAGGAAGTATATGTTCAACAGTTATGAAAAATATGTGTCACTTTTGTATTTGCTCAAATAGTTCAATCTATAAACAATTCTCACCACTGATTCCCAATCAATGGAGTTCTTTGGTTGCATGAGAAATTAATAAAATTAATCATATGTGGGGTTTTCATTACACCACCAATCATAGGTAGGTAGCAAATGAAGGTGATAGAAGCACTTGGGGTGTAAAAATGTTAGTGACATAGAAATACATGTAATCAGTAACGATTATAAACTTAGGAAATTTATGCGTGTTACAGGAACAGACAAAAATTCATCCTAAAAGAGAAACTATATATATTCTCAGGATTTGAAGCAAGATACCTAAAAAAATGATATGCTTATTTTTAAGGCCAAGATAGCGATAATAGAAAGTAAAAGTGGTATCATATGAGAAAATGTCTAGAAATTGAGACAGTGCAGAGCATTCCGAAGACTTAGAACGCAAATTGATGAGTACACTGAATCGATTCCTAAAACGTGTAGCACTTTCTTGAGGTAAAATGAGTACATTTTTATTGATAATATTTTAAGACTAACACAGTAACATTATGAAAACGTGTAATATTAAGTAGTAATTTAATAATTCAAAGTCATTATCAACCGTTTAATTTACTTTAATCTGAATGTTCACTTATAATACCGGATGACAAACTAAGAATTAATAACAAATATCTTATATAATATACATACACATGTACTAACTTACTTTTCTTCGTACTTTGGATCCAAGTTATCTTTAACAGTTTTAGTCTTTTTTGAATCACTGACCACATTGTCGTGTAAATCCATAAGATAAAGTTTTACATATGGATCAGATAGACCGTCTTTATCAACACCGCTTAAATGTCTACATACGTAGGGGTGAGGTAGGAAATAAAAATATCATTAATAAACTCAACAAATCGAGGATGGATGAATTAAAAATCTAAGACAAATGAGTTATACTAGGCCAGATACAGTTATTTTACATAATGTGATAAATGAATGAAGTTGAACAATGGGTTAATACATATGTATTGCTTCCGATCTCGCTTGTTTTCAACGTGATGCAATACACTACTTGGTGAAATTCAGTAGTTCAAGTTAGAATTATTCATTTCTTCGGGTTGTGATGTGTATGGTTGAAAAATGTTCTCAAACAGAAGTGTTGATTTATTCTCCTAACTGTCCTGGTATTTCATTTTCCTATAGTTGAGATCATGAGTGAATTGAAGCTAGACCACCATGAAAAACCTGAAAGCACTGGACGACCGTCTCGTTCTAGTAACACCGTTGGATGCCAGCCAGCTCAGTGGTCTAATGGTTAAGCGCTCGCTCGCGATACTGATAGGTTCTGAGTTCGAATCTCGCGGGGGGCGGGATCGTGGATGCGCACTACTGAGGAGTTCCTTACTAGGACGAAACGGCCGTCCAGTGATTCCAGGTTTTCCATGGTGGTCTAGCTTCAATTGACTCATGATTTCAAGGATTGAAATTTTTAAAAAATCTCCACGAAACCCCTTCTGATTTCATTTTTCTCCCGAAGTGAATATTTTTACACGCAACATTCTCTGAAGCTTGCCACCTATTGAAATACAGTGCCAAATCTTATTCTAGACAAATATTGAAAATCAAGAGGCACTGGACGGCTGTTTCGTTCCAGTATGGGACCCCTACCCCTTAGTAATGTGTACCTATGTTCCCGCCGGAGATGATAAATTTTCCTACTAGTTTACTATAGTTACTAAAGTGAAAATGATGTAAATCGCGCTTTAAATAATAAATAACGAGATGTCAATATAAAGTGTCAGTATAAATCTTCACTTAAGCATACATATTTGTATGTAGTTTTATGTCTGCATAAAAATTAAAGTATCACAATAAGAGTGGAATAAATACGAGTGAACTACTTACTGACATTCATGTACTGTTACTTCTAAATAGTTCGATAGACAATGAAACTGGATAGTTAAACGAATACGACCCAGTGACGAATTGCTTATTTGTTGTATACTATTACTAGTCATCACTTGTCTAATTGGCTGAACAGACTGATTATCGAAGTTTGTTGTTGATAAAGATTCTGTGGAAGAAATAATATCCTACAACAAAAAATAATTTCAAAGAAAAGGTAACCGAAGTATCAGTTGACAGTAGTTTTACTTCTAGAGGTGGTTAGTATGAAGTTTTATGACAGCATAACGCATATTCATATTAATATATAGTCAGTTCTCGAAAGTATAGTTCTGTTCAGAGAATATCACCAACAATAAATGAATGAAATCGTCAATGTTTCTACGCAAAAGTTATCGTGAACACGTTTTCTAAAAATAGCTTCAACAAATTGATTTCTAGTGTGTTTAACGTTCCATAACTAAAAAAAATTATGACTGCAAAATTTGGAGAGTTCTATAGAACTATACGTTGTTAGTAAACAGTGGATTAAGCTTAACAAGTACTGATAGTCTATAAAATGACAAAGATTACTTCAATTATAGTCAATGAACTCAGTATATTGAAACAAAATTAATCCCAGTTTTATCTAATGTATACGTAAAATACTTGAAATGTGTATTCAGTCTTTCTCGAAGTGCTGATTTAGTACACATTCAATTTATTGCGATCAGGGTCCCTTATAATACTGATCAAATGGTGCTATGATACTAGGAGTGCTTGTACTTTCAGGCCATAGTATCTCACGAAAGTAATTTGGAGAGTGCTCAGGCTGAATCCATCATCGAATGACTGTAGTGGTGAAAATATCTAAGTCTTCTAACAGTCTACGTCTACATAAATAACGAAATTATTTCATAGCGTGAAGAACTGTTCCTTTTGCTGACAGCTAGTAAATTCTTTTCAAGAAGGGGAATAAATAAATTTATGACAGCTAGCGAACTAAATACGGAAGGAGGTTAAGACAGACAAAATAGTATCTTGCAACTTTGAAGAAGATACTGTTTTAGTGAACCGATAATGATGTTCATTTAACAGCTGTCAAAATTATTCCAGCCGAAACCAAAGGTTAACTGTTGTTCGATTGTAACTTAACTATGTTAACATAAATTAAGTAATATCCTTCGGTTACAACAAAAACCACATTAAGAAAGTTTTCGTTGGAGGCTAAAATCATATGAATGTAGTAAATCAAATACTAGGAAAAACCGTTGCACCATAAGTCTAGACGTATCAACTCAATTTCTTTTGGAACCGACCATAAAAAGATCAAAACCAAACAAAAATTATAATCAAATTACTTAAGTTGAAATACAACCAATTGAATCAAATGATAATGAAATTTATTACTGTTAAGAAATAACATAGGTCATAAGTATCATAGTACTTACATTATCATCAGGAAAACGATTTCTCACAACCATTTCTGGATTTCCTGTGGGGGATTCAGCAGGTTTTTCAGTTGGGATAGTATTATCAGTAAAATTCTTATTCAGGGATAAACTCCGTTTTATATTGGTATTATCATGCCCGCTTGGATTTTGGCGTTGTCCAGGAAGTAAAGCCTGTTATGATAAGAAACATTTATTTCTCCTTCGGTAATCAATCATTTAATGCATATTTAGTTGTTCTACAGAGATTATTCACAAAGTTGTAAACTATCAGCTAAACTATCATAAAAGTGTGCTAGGAATTAAATCACAACTTTGTGTAAACGCCCATAACGCGATGGATTGGTTAGTGCAAAGAAGCTAAAAACAATTACCGAATAGTTGAGAGTTATCTATTGAACAAAGGAGTTAGTCATATATGATGAAGAGCCTGGTACAAATACGGGTTGACAAAAGTTGGGATACTACATTAACATGATGAAATCAAATTAACAAGATGAATAATAAAGAGGTCGAAATAATGCAGTAGTAGTGATAATAAAAATACTAAACACAGGGAATCTTATTTGAAAAGGCAGAAAGAATAGCTATGTATGAAGGGATATGGGAACGGAAGATCTAGAGAAATTTTAAAATGAAATATGCCTGCATCACTTTGACTGACTCTGAGTCATCCAAAGTTTCCAACCACTGGTCACGGTTAATGAGTGGACCGTGATACAGAAATGACAGTAGTACAACGATCTACGATTAAATTTTGACAGTCAAAGGAAAAAGCAGACTTGTAAGTTAAATCAATTTCTATTTAGAAATTTTGGACATTGTGTTTTCAAACTGAATAAGTATCAAATCATTCTTATTCAGTCAAGAATAACTAATGTATGTAGGTCCAGTAATTAATATTTTCTTGAATCGTATCTTTGATGACTAATCTTTACAATCACCACTCGTGATGTTACTACGTCTAAAAGTTCATTTCTGTATTCTTATGGGGTATGGAAGCTTGAACTGATGTATATGAGTACCAGGTTCTATGTTATGACTGACTGAATTATCTAAGACAACAAACGATACTAAAGTGGAATAAGAATCCCATATCTAAATGCTAGGCCGACACATGAAGTCAATCTGTGAAGTTATTGATTTTATGAGAAGATATAGATCTTATAGTTAGGGTCCATGAAACAATTGTAAATAATTATCAGGAACCATAAGTGGTCTATAAACAAATGACCTTTATTTAAAAAATCTAAATCATGTACATTTTGTTATTTAATGTTATTATTTCATTTTCGCTAATGTTCTGTACTTGAATTAGATAATTACTATCATGAATGGTTTGACTTTTTATTGATTACATACTATATTCCAGTACATAGTATGTTAGTTGTGTTTTTTCTGTTTGTTTTCTATTGGTTTGAAATTAATAGAATTCGGTGTAAAAGGATTTTATATAATTTAATTGAAGATATTTGAGAAAGAACCTTAGAGATAGTGTAGTATTTAGACAACATACAACTGTCTCAGATAACAGACTTTGGTAGTGCATGCAGATGACGAGTAGATTTATAATAAAACCAAAATATTGGCCTCATAAATTATGAATTTATTAATCTTAATAGAGTAATTAGACATGAACGTTATTTAAATGGTGTTACTCATGTAATGTGATAAAAAGAGAATTTGAAATACTGTTAACAACCAAATGTAGTAGTGTGGTGTATGCTAATTATGTTTGTCATTATAAGTAGTATGTAACACCAATCAGAAGTGGAATGACTGGCTGTAGAAGGTTGAGAAGATCGAATTGAAGAGAACGGAAATGTAAACAGAGAGTAATTATAATAGCAATAAAGGAACGATGAAGTTCGAGACAATTGATGGAAGATTTGCAAATGAAGTATTTAATGTATTGTTTTTCATATTTTACGAAGACACTCTGTAACTTTGCGTTATACAATAAACTGGTAGTCCCCACCTGACTTCTCATTCATTACAATAGAATTTCAGAAAGTCTGTAATTTACGTCTTAGTAAACCCTGACGATTAAGTCAATATGGGATTATTTTCTGATGTCAAAGATATTCACGTTAAAAGTATGGTATCAAATCAATGTTAATTAAAAATTTCAACTATTTATTCTAAAATTTTACGTAAAGTATTTATAGAACTCACCAACAGTTGTAAATGCATGTAAATGGTTGATGTTTCTCGACCTGTATCTTGTAAGGTGAATGGTTGCGTGACAGACATATTCTTCTGTGTTAATAAGGTTTGTAGTGAGATGTTACAAGATCCCAGTTTTGTCTCCGTCCGACTGTCACGTATCTAAATAATGTCACAAGGGAGACATGGAGTACAATTTAGCATTTTAATGAAACATGTAAAAATGATATGAATAAGAAATCAGGATTACGCAATGGTATCTCGGTTATCAATTTGTACGAATACACACAGTGAACATACGAACAGACTTATAACTGTTCTACTGCACAGCCTGACGTAACAGTGGATCAATTCAGTCGCCGAATTACCATGTTAGTAAGTTGTCATGCATAGAGAAATATATTAGAAGCTGGAAAAACTTGAGACGGTAACTGAGAAAAATCGGACTAGAATAGTGGATGTTCAATATTTGAAGCAAGAAGTACGAGTGAGTCAGTATGAGGATGACTATAAGTTATTACCTGAAAGTCAGTGGTTTCATTGACTACGGCAATCCATTATTGTTAACGTTTCGAAATGTTTCCCAAATTACTTCAATCAATGCAGGCCACCCCTCTTACGTAATCACTGGATTTGCTTATCAGGGAATTCTCTATTTTCACAGATTGAACTCATGAGTCAGTTGAAGCTGGTCTAGCTTCAACTGACTCATGAGTTCAATCTGTGAAAATTTCTAAAAAATCTCCACAAAACACATTCTGAAAATTCTCTATTTGTCATTAAGGAGCCAAAGACGAACTGAATTTCGGAGGTCGATTTGTATTCTCGGAAATCAAATAGATTAAATTGTACATTAAAACCTTAATTGATAGGTTATAGCGCACTACAGAAATTGTTGTTGCACTTCATGGTACTACTACTGTTAAAAATTTTAAAATCGACCTAACAGCAGACTGCAATAGTTTTATACTCATGTTCAAATGTGCGACACATTGTTACAAAATCTCATTACTTTAGACGAGAGGTATACCAAATGATAAAATATTCTAGGTACCTCTACAAATACAGAAACTATGGGTCAGTATTCTAATAAACTTAGTTTTAAGTAAGTCAACTTGATCCACATCTCTGCTTCAGTAATTATGACTACTAAAAACACCCTCCCAAAGAAAAAGAAAAACATGAGTTAAACTTACAATAAGTTGAAGTATATCAACGTTTGGATCACTAACAAGAAAATGATGTACAGAATTCCAAACAGGATTTTGTGTTTTTTCTTTAACTTCGTTTGTTTGATAATCACGTCCTAGATGGATATTACAAAATGGTGAAGGTTCTTGTAGTTGTTTTACGGGCTGATAATGGAAGAAACAGAAGAGAAAGGAAATTGAATAAAGAGCAACTGTCTAAAATCATACGTAAATGATTAAAAGGTAATGTTTTTAGATACAAAAGAAAAAATGTTCAAGATGATGTACAAAAACATTGGATTTCAGTAACTTGTTAAACAAAAAAAGGTGATTGGAAGTTACTGCGGATATACATTAGCTGCATGACGGTATCGTCAATTAGCTGAAGTAGCGTGAAAACCAAGTGCTATTTACTGTGTCTATGTTAAAGTGTTAACTCTGCCTGGAGCCCTTCTAGAGTTACTCCCAGTTCCAAACCCGAGTAAAGGAGGCCGTTTTGACTTTGAAAATCACACTGATGATACATAAATTGACAGACTATTCCTACCAAACTTCAGCAAGGAGAACAAAGTGAAACTACTTAAATATTATTATCTACATAATCTATGGTAAAATCATTTTTACGATTAGCCTGTTCAGATTTACGTAAGTAGTCTAGATTAACTTTAGAAGCAAGTAAGATAAAGAACAGTACCAAATACGCCTTTCTGTGATAAATACGACCTGTTAAAATCCATGAAGTTAGCATTTATAATCTTGTAGTTATATTCGTCATAAAATCTAGCATCAAGTGAAGTTTACACTTTAGTATCGATTTTCGAAAATGCGACTAGAGTATTGATTATACTTGTCATAAGGACTCATAACCATCAGGCGTTACACGTAAAAATCCAAACTGATATCTATTAGGACAATGTTTTAGACAAAGAAAATCATTCATGCATAAACGCTATGATAAGTAATAACGAAGAAATCAGTATATATTTCATCCTATCACTTTAACATAAAAACATCAATTACAAAAGCGTACATACCTAACCTTTAACAATAACCGAGTTATGATAAATGTAATGTTATCTTAAAACTTTTAAATGTTGAGAACTGAATCTTCTGGGAAGAATATTAATGAAAATGTTTAATTAGGGAAGCTGGGAACTCATTAAGAGTGTAAAATGTATATCATCATGAACATGATATCTTAGAACACGCGAAACCTCAGTCAGTCAGTCAGTAACAACGTAGAACTTCGTACGTATGTACATCAGTTCCAGTTGCCACACCACATTAGCACAGAGATGCAGTTGTCGATTCAAGTCCCGTAGTGGTAGAGGTAATCAGAGTATAAGCAGTAATCGGAAGATTAGGGTTTGGATATGTTGTTTAAAGAGTATAATACAGTGAAATAAATTTGGAAAGAGGAAAAAAGGGACATGAAGAATTCAGAAGATTAGAATTTGGGAGAACACAGAGAGTGGATGCACCTGCGCCATTGCAAACGATTTTGAGCCATGTCATTCAGGGTCTCTAACCATCGGTTGCTATCATCTCGCGGTCCCCAACCAGGTAGTCTACACCTACCAGTCCACTTGTCAGTAACTTCATGGACTTGTGCCATGTTTTGGTCTGGCCGCCCCTAGCTTTCTTCCAACCTACTCCTATACCACTGAACATCGCACGTCGAGGCAGTCGGTCGTTGGGCATACGTAACACGTGTCCCAGCCATCTCAACTGATGAAGTTTCACTACTTCATCAATTGATTTGCCATCCTTACCTAGTACCCGTTTCCTAACAACTGTGTTACTTACTCGATGGTCCCATGATATACGAGCAATGTTTCGAAGACACCTATGATCGAATACTAGTAACCTACGAATATCCTCTACTCTTACCGGCCATGTTTCACTGCCATAAAGTAGGACGGAACGAACTGTTGCGCAGTAAACACGTCCTTTGGTTGATAGACGGATATCTCGCCTACGCCATAAATGACGCAAGTTGGCAAAAGCTAGTCGGGCTTTCTGTATCCGTGCTGAGATTTCGTCACACACCAGACCACAAGGGCTGATGAGACTTCCAAGATAAGTGAAGCGGTCGACACACTCAACTACTTCACTCCCTATCACTAGTTCGGGTGTCGATGTGACCCAATCCTGAAGCAACATTTTGCATTTCGAGGGAGAGAATCGCATCCCGAACATGCTTGCATTGTTGCTTACCGTGGTCAGAAGACTCTGCATTTTGTCAGCGTCTTCACCAAATGAAACTATGTCATCTGCATATTCTAAGTCAACAAGTGAACCTCCCGGTAGAAGTTCGACCCCTGGGAATTTAGATGAGGAGAGTGTTATCTCTAAAAGTACGTCGACCACAAAGTTGAAAAAGAATGGGGAGAGTGGACAGCCCTGACGAACACCACTTGAGGTAATCAATTCTGATGACAGTTCGCCATAAGCTCTTACTCTACCAGTTGTGTTCGAGTAGAGAGCCTTTATAAGGTTAATGTACTTCTTTGGTACTCCTTTCAGTGACAAACACTGCCATAGAACCTCACGATCAACAGAGTCGAATGCCGCCTTAAGGTCGAGAAATACTACCATTGTGGGGCGTCTGAACGTGTGTCTGTGTTCTGGAACCTGACGTAGTGTGAATATCTGATCTATACAACCACATCTAGGTCGAAAACCGGCCTGGTTTTCTCTAATCTGCTCTTCACGAGCTTTGATTAGGCGTCGAAGTATTGTTGAGGCTAATATTTTAGACACTATATTTGTCAAACTGATTCTTCTGTGATTGTCACAAGAGGACTTTTGTCCTTTCTTATAGACTGGCACAATCAGTGATTGAGACCAGTCAGATGGGATTACGTCCAGTTCCCAAATTCTACCTATGACCTCGGTTAATCTCATTGCTAATACTGGACCACCATCCTTAAAAATCACGCGAAACCTAGTCAATAAAGACATTGAAAGAGGGTACAGGCAATCCATCTAATAACCGTATTTCAATTTAAACTTGAATAGGCGATAGTATTCCTTTTTGATGTATGAATTATGGATAAATGGATGAATATTGTGAAAGTGAGCTGTCAGGTGTGACTTATTCCTATCGTATATTATGCCACTTATCTCGTGACTTCTGCTAGGAATATTTGCTGTAACACATTCGACTTGTGAGAATAGAAAGAGCCTTTTCAACTTTTCTCTTACTGAGAAGTTTGGAGGAGATTACAACGATATTATTGTTATTGTAGAGAAGAAATTAGTTACTAGGTGAGAATACAGAGACTAGCTCCAGTTTGAGACATAATCATCTAGGAACAAGATTTAACGATTCAAAGTTTCCTTCAAATTTATATTTCATTATTTCTATTTAATATTTAAAAAATACTGCACACATTTGATACAGTTTACAAAATAACTTACTGGCAAATTATTAGCTTGTTCAATAACAACGTATAAAAATCCTGAACTCATACTTCGTCCGGATGCTTTACGATACTGTAAAGCCTGTTCCATTGACTAGTAATCATCATGTAGTTTGGAACGGCATGATTTAATATAAAGAGAAAAGAAGGGAAACAGAAGATGAATAAAAAGCGAATATTATCACAAATAAATTATAAAATAATAAATAGAGAGGGATTATCAGCAATGAAATTATGTCAAATCACAATTAACAAGATGAACTGAATAGTAATTGACTGACAAACGATTCGATTGTGCGAACAAAGTGACTAAGAAATAAAACAGACAGTAGGAATAACAAGTAAACATAACAAATTTCTTATGATGAGATTTGAGATAAAGAAATCAAAGTCAATGAATTCGCAATATCATGAAGAAAATATCCAACTAGCTTGAGAACGTTTAGTTTGTAATGCATTTTTGTACACAAAACATGAACAGCTGTATAGAATGATCAATTGCCGCACAATCATAGAGTAAACATTCAAACATGAAACACGAATGAAGATGATATACATTTACAGTGGATTTATAATCATTTCAACAACAAATTTCATATAAATCAGTTCACAAATTAGAAATCTGAAGACTGAAATAAAAAAAACAGTAATCAAAACTAACCATTAATACAAGGAAATCATGTAGATTTAACGACTAACAAAGATTTTAATATTTTTATCACTTTTAATACAATTCGGTAACCAGGTACAAGATCGTGTACTCAAATTGAAGACTGGAGTTTTATGTGAGGTCTAGCGAAATTACTCGACCCATAAAACAATATAGGTGAGGAAGATTGGAACTATTGATTTAACCGAAATTTAAATGCTTTAATCACTAAGTCATTTCTCGTACGATATTCACATTCAAGATGAGTAAACCAATAACTGGTATAGAAACATAGTAATCACCTAGATTCAGGGGAATAGATTGACTCGTGATTTCAATTGTGAAAATACCATAATCTCCACAATTCCCTCATACAAACCGTGCAATCAGATATTTATCCCATTTTTATGTGAAGCTCACAATAATCTAACATCGATTAGATAAACTTTTAGGCATTAGCTTTGGCAACCCTAAACATGAATCAGACATTAGGTGGTGATTCTGTTAGGGTGCTAAGATCTAGTTATAAGCCATATATATATATATATATATATATATATATATATATATATATATATATATAGAGAGAGAGAGAGAGAGAGAGAGAGAGAGAGAGAGAAAGAGAAAGATCGAAGTTTGTGGTGTTGACTAAATCAAGTTTTGCAAGTACATCTTATAAACAGTACAAAAGTCAACATTTTTAGGCTACCACAAATGTTAATAATATGAATCATATAATATGTGACTAAATTTAAAAGTGATAATTCAATCAACTGATAAATGAAATAAAGGAAACAAAATATGTAGAAATACAATCTACAATGAAAATAGAGATTTGGAAATCTATCAAACTAAGAATATTCAATGTCTTATCTGTTTAGAGAGAAAAACATCAACAAGAATAACACAAGTATCACATAGAATCTCAATAGATGAATTGAATTTTCAATAACGAAAAATAAAACAATAACCAGTAGGAATTGAACAAACTAAACATTATTCTATTGAAAATGGAATGAATGCTTTAACAAAAATCTATTGAATTGTTTTTTTTTTGGGGGGGGAGTATTGATTGTAGGTGGGGATATGTAATAAAAATTAATCGGTAGAAACATCAATCAATCATACAAAATACACATAGACATAATGAATTAGTGGTAAATTACAAAGTGCATGCGTAATCAACTTTAATATTAAAACTATGATACTGAAATTTACACAAACTCACCATGTATAGTATAGTTGTATGTAAAATTTGACAAGTAATCATGATTAAGAAATAGGAAAATTGAAGAAAATCAGTAAATAACAATAATATTATACTAAGATATATTTCTTGTGTGACATAATGTTACTAAATGCAAACGAATATATTTAGGGGATACTTCCAATGTGTAAACACTTGTTATATTGTCTGATATTTGTTCTACGGAGAGGGTAGTGAAGGATTAAATTGGAAGATTTTTGGCTTGTTTTTATTTTGTTTGGAAAGCATCGATTTGAGTGGTTTGTATTATTTTCTCTGAATAGGTTGTCTATACAATTTTCGTGTCAATTTCAAGGTTGCTCGTCGTTTTGAATGATCCGCTATTTCACATAAATATTTTATATACAAATCATTATGATCTCGCGTAAAATTGAAATGTCAAAAAATTTCGCTCTAATAAGCTTTGAACCGTTTCTTTTGGAAATTGTAGACTAACAAACGACTTTTGAAAAGTTTAATTTGACATGCATCGAATTATACAGATGTTGATATTTTTAACTAAAATGTGATCAATCATGGTTGGTATATGTGAATCCTGCACAGATTACCTCTATATAGACATTATGACACATGTTAGTATATAATAAGTAGGATGTAGCGAGTTCCGTTTGTTTAAAAGGGATAAGCCAATCTAAGTGAGCGGCTATCTGGACTGAGTGGCTAATTGGATAATGCAATTGGGCTGGCAGCAAAGGGTTTTGGATTCTAGTCCTGGAGTGAACATCAACTCTGGAAAGCAGGAACATCCATTTGAACAGTCTCAAACAGGACGAAACGCGTGTCCTCCATTCCATTGCTAGTCACATTATATACTAATTTCTAAAAATATTATCGGGCTCTAATATCTGAAATAGACATTAGCGGTGGCAAAGATTACGATCACTAAAAATTTATACTGGCAATCTGAAATCACTGCTTTCAAGGATTTGATTAGATTTCTGATTGGTAGGGTAGAGAGGGTAAAAAGACCAAAAAATCTGGCTCCCTTAAAAAATCATTTCCGTAGACTGCTGATTATTCCCTTAGATTTATTATGCAATCCCCAAACTACGCGAATGACTATTATGCACTTAAATTTATCAGGTATATCAAACAGTGGCGTGGCAATTGATTTGGTTACTAGACACTGTTTAGTTAAATACTTCGAAAAACAATTTTTAGAAACCATGCCAGTTATCACACAGTGATAATTTCTAGTGGTGGCAACATGAAAAACAAATAAGCCTTCCATTAGGTAAGTCAAGCTCTTAATTTTACATGGAGTGCAAGGCTACTCAAGCCTAAAAAAGTAAACGTCCTTCGTCTTTTTCCAACTTATGGCAAATTGTACAACAATAATTCGACTGCGTAAATGGAAAAGAGCCTCACATTGGGAAAAAGACAACTACCTAGTAGTATTTGATTCGCAATATCAGTATGTATTAACAAAAATACAGAATTGGGTGGGCTATTTGTCACTTATTCTACGACCATAAAACTTATCTTTTTAAAATTTCTAAGTTGCATGGTCAATATGTGGAAATTTGTGCAATGATGAAAAGTTTATAGTTTGTATAACCGTAAAGAATAGTGGACTGTGATGAAACGAAACTATGTTTCGAACTTTGGAGATTATTGACAAAAATTAATCAAGTGAATGTACAATCAAGTATTATTTGTCATTTAAATATAAATAATTCAATTTAATGCAAGTACCTTCATTTGTTAAATGTTCACTTAAAAGGTGAGATATGAACGAAGCAGTTTGATAACCAAAATTAAGAGCAACAACTAGGTGTACACAACTACAGAGTACTATAATTAAAGTAAATCACATACAAGAGTTCATATCATTAGAGAATTATATCGTTATAACTAGGTTATCGCTAGTTTTACCATAGAACACTTTAAAGCCACAAGTTTACCCAATCAAGTAAACACTAACATAAACGAAATCCAGATTCGAGGAAGGAGTAATTAGATGACTGACAAAAAAGGCATTTAAGATAGACATGATTTTCAAATTTCAGATAAAGTTACCAATAAATTTTGCATTCATGTCATAATTTTCTATATTGTGATAAATTATGGGATACGTATAACATCTAATCATTGAGTTTTTATCGAGAAACTAAAATAGCACACATTTAACCTATTATGTTGTATAAAATATTTGAAAACACCTGGGCAGATTAATGTCTACATTCGATTAAAAATATCACGCAAAATCATCTTGTTAATGTTTCACCAAAGGAAATTGTTTTTGAGATGATAACTTTGGCTAGTACTACGAAATGTTTTATTTGTTTGTAATACATAACAATGTTGGGTAAGACAGGGGTGTGATCTCCGGGATTCAAATACAAGCGGGTAAGGTTATAAGAGGAGCATTTCTCCAGTCTTCGATCCACAAGCCAGTGGAGTAAAATCAAGAGATGGAATCCCTTGGAAAACGGTGACCATAGTATTTTATTCGTTCAGCCTATAAGAGGTAAGTCTTCTGTATTCATTACAAGTGTTGAGATTTTTGGGAAATAGATATTTTTAGAAAGCGGGAACAATACTAACGAAGTTACGTGGCAAAAAACCTCCACTTTGATTATGAGCAATTTACAGTGGCATTTAAAAACGTAGCGTTATAATGAAACGGATACTACCAAAAATTTGAACTTGTTTATCGAATCATCTGTGATTATGATTTTGTTATATATATATATATATACTGATTTATCTGTTAGGATAGTGGATGGCAAGTTGTCTGTATTCACTATTCAACAACAGGAAATGGAGCATTTTCCCCAAACTATCAGGCTGTAGCACTGGCTGAAAATTGACAGAGTAATCAGGAAGCAATAAAAGCTAAAACTAGTTAACCTTGGAGTTTTAACTAAAACTTCGCGTTGAAGATGCTCTGTGAACAGTAAGTGCAAACATGTATTGATAGTAATATCAAATGCAAACATATATACAACGATTACTACAGATACTTCTTTAACATAGTTATGAGGCAGATTAAAACGCTAGTCCTAAACACAGTCCACATTTCCTTGAATAAAGCAGTTTAGTTATTAGAGACGGGGTTTTCCAAACTACCAGTAAAATATTAAACAGTAAATGCCAAATAACTTAAGAATAAACTAGTAAAACAAGAAAGTAAGAAAAATCAGATAATATGATTCTAAATATCTAATAATAATAGTAATAATAATGATATACGACAAAATTGAATTTAAATTATTTTATCAGTGAAATACTCGGGTACTAGTACTGAACCGGTAATCTGGAAGGAATGTTTTCAAATCGCAAGTTTTTTTAATTATAGCCGGGTAATAACAAACATGAATTAGCAAAAGGAGGTTAGTTGAAATCGTAAACCACTTTCACAAATAAAATAAGAGGAAATCAATTGAACTGACTAGAAAATGTAGAAGAAAGTCTACGATACAGAATAAGGTGAACAGCAGTAAGTTCCGGAAGATTAACACTAGTTAAAGGTACATTTACAAACTATAGTAATAATAATAAAATAATAACTACAAGAAAAGCTCGTTAAGCATATTGAACAGACTTCTTATCAGTATATATGAGTAAAGAATTAAAGAATAATTTTAAATGGTGGTCTAGCTTCAACTGACTCATGAGTTCAATCTGTGAAAATAATTTTAAAGTTGATTATTTTAGTTAGCTCAGAACTATATATAACATTTGAATATAATATACATATATTTTGCGTTAAAATTCAGGATAGTGTTTTATGATAGCCTTAGTGTATAGAACCATACCATCGCCTGAAAACAAAGAACGAAAAGAGCACTGACGAACTTGTAATTTTATAAGAGTGTTTGAACTTGAATAGTTTGTTTGTTAAACCATAGTTTACATAATTACGTAATTGATAGTGAATGAAATAAGATATTAGCAATTCATAATTCTGATAAATTATAAGTAATATTTTTAACGAGATACTTTTCTTCCCGAAAAAAATAATTATACTGTCAATATAGCGAGATTAATCACTTAAGCCTGGTATTAAGGAGAACACTATGACATTTGAGTTTTTAATTTGGATAAACTTTGTTCTGGCAAAAGGAATATGCATCTTTCAATACAAAAATAAAGTATGTGTTCCAATTTTTAAGCATGATGATGTAACACTAAACTAACAAGTACAAATTCTTTTTTTCCAACAACTCTGAAAAAGTTTACCGAAAATGCATTGCTTACAATGAACGTCCATAATACTGACTGAAATCATGAGAAACACTCGAATGTATGTTAATTTATAGTCATCCATGTGAATATTTAATACTATGAGATACCCTACAAAGAACACTGATGAAATGTCACAGAAAATCGATGAAAAACTTTAGACAAGTTTTAACTTGAATGAACAGTATTCAAAGTTATTCAAATTCAAATACGAGGAAAGGAAAAAAATTTTTTCTGTTTTTCACTAGCTGACTAAGTACTTAAATATTTAGCAAAGTAATCAAAAATCATCAAGAGCTTACGTTATGTAACAATTCTAGAAGTAATAAGAGGAAATAGTCTATAGAATAAAGGCTAAAGATAACTATTACATAAACTATTACTTGAAGTATTTTCTTCACAATTTTTGATTACTTTGCTAAATGATACAACCCCACTTTTTATTCAATACTTAAATGTTATTTAAGACAAGACATAGAAGTGTCCGAAGTAAAAAACGAATATATTTTTCTAACCTGTACAAAATCCACTTCATGATTTGACAGTCGAAACCACGTTAATTGAATATGTAATGAACCAGTTTTTACCCCTTCTAATGAGGACCACTAAATAAACGGAGAAATCATTAACATGTTACATATAAAAAGGATGAGAACTAAGAAAATCTTGAATATTTTCTGAGTGTAAAACATTTGCTACGAATAGTTAAATAGTTTTTACAACAGTTTAATGCTGAAACGAAATCTCTCTCTCTTTATATATATATATATATATATATATATATATATATATATATATATATATATATATATATATATCATTTGATTTACTTTATGTTGTCAAATATATCGTTTACTTTATTTTTATTTACTCATTTACTGAGTACAGATTCGTATACTTGACTCGTGAGTTAAACTACTAGTGTGATGTTAGGTGACATTACCCGGGTGGGTTTCGAATAACGACTACTTAACCTAATGTTTGAAATTATGCAGCCGTGTTTTTTGTGAGACTTAATAATGTGTAGAAACTTATTAGTCTAAAGCAATAAGCAGTTAAAGTCACTCGATTAATAGCTTTCTATATTAGGATGCTACTGAGTCTTATATAAAGAAACGTACGCTACAAGTCAAAAAGTCTGTAAATACTGATGAGAAGTTCAGAATCACTGAGTCTGATTTATATGTCTGTATGGTATACTTTGTACTTGGTGACAGTAGTTACGCTGACCGATAGAGAAAGTCACAGTTCATCAATCCAATCATTAACTAGCAAATTTCAATCATATTCAGTGATGTTGTAGGGTTCGCAAGTTATACTACCGAGTGAAGCGCTACAAAGTAGAGAAACAGAAAGTATTACAGAAAGGCGAGATGATGGAAGAACTACATCGACTGTTATATTTACAGAGATATATAGTTTGGTACTGTACGCACTTGAAGGCGAGTTAGGTATTTGTTGAAATACTATGATACAAAACCACTATGAAGCTATCATAATTCAATGTGCTAACTAAAATCTTTGAATGAGTGCTTTGGTTTGGAATGGTATGTTAATTCTTAAAGTGGATCAAAATGGAGGATCGGTTATGTTCTGTGTTATATACATAAGGGCGAAAACATTTGTAAAGTATAGACTGCTGAGAAATTATGGCTTAACTGTAAAACCTATAACTCCTTTTGACCTTCAAGTATTTAAATAATCCAAAGTGTTAAATTAGTTTTTTAGTCACAAATATAGTAAAATGAGAATAATTCATATAAAACATAATGATTTCTATTTAAATCATTCAATAAAGTAACCCGTTTGTTCCAAATTTTACATAACAGTTAATAAACAGAATAAATAATGTATGCTACTGTTTACATGAACCTTTGAATTACACAACTGGACATGATTAAACAAGTTCCACATGCACTTTTATGATTTTTTTGATGGAATTTGATAGATAGTATACATGAAAGATATAAGCACATCCTTCTTGACAAATCTTAGGAGGCTATAATACTGTAACTAGTTCCTAGTTGCTTTGTAGACAAATTCGATCATCTAAACCAGTACGGAGATGGAAAATGTTTCAGTATTGTACAAGTAATTGTCTACAATAATAGTTCAATCAAATTCCGCAACATTTGTCTGGTATTCAAAAATGAATATAATTCATTTAGTGACTTTGTATGTGATAAAACCATTAGATTTTGTAGTGTCATCATGATTTACGTTGAAAAATCGTTTAATTTCAAGAATCATTTCGTTCTTATTAACATCGGGTTTGATAAGTAACACAATATTTTCTGATTATTAAATGTGAATTCAATAGTAAGTACTTTTAACGCTAGTCAATCCTAACAAAAACATCATCAGTGAATTAGTTTGAGGCGTTTGGGACAGATATAATCTTTTTTATTTATAACAAACACCGACTTTGTTAATCGGCCCATATACTTACCGTATCTATTTCACCTTCACTGACTACCGACTCAACTGGTATCGAAGTACTACATTGAAATGATAAATTTAAAAGACAGAAGGTAGCAATATAAATAGAATAGATTAAAATATAAGTAGATGAAAACGACAGTTGCTATTGTGTCTAATACAGTGACATGAAATGTTGTACTTTAAATAATACCTGAAGTTGGATTGAAATATATTTCGTTTACTCAATGCTCTGTGTACGAGAAAGTAAGTTTGAGACTGCGATAAGACGGGCTTGATTAATTACGTATAGTACTGGTTAGGTGACTAGCAGCAGAAAAAGAGAGTAAACAGCCACTCTTTTGTACTTGATAAAGTGTGTATGTTTATCAGAAAAATAGAAGTGTAAGTTACATTAATGAATAGTTTGACTTATTTAAAATTTCATTATTAAAAAATGAGGAAAAAAATTTTACGTTGATTATTGCTATGGTGATAACTTTAGTAACTCCGCCTGTAGCTCTTCTAGAGTTACTGCCGGTCCCAAGCCCGGGTAAAGGAGGAGGGTTGGGCATGGGGTTAGCGTCCCCATCCCGTAGAAAACTAACTCGCTAAAAAAACGCTTACCAGAAAAAATAATTCAAACCATTTAAACTCTGCCCTGGGAGTTAGAAGGTCTTCATTTAGAAGAATTATGACGCTTCATGGTGAAAGCCGAGTTCCTTCGGAAGCCACGAGGCCGATGCCCCTTCTAACAACCAGAGCAAAAATTTTTATAGGTACATGGAACGTTCGAACAATGTGGGAAACCGGGAAGACCAGTCAAATAGCAATGGAAATGAGGAGATACAACTTAGCAGTACTGGGAATCAGCGAAACCCACTGGACCCAAGCTGGACAGAAAAGGCTAGCTACGGGAGAGATGCTGCTATACTCCGGTCACGAAGAGGAAATGCTCCACACACTCAGGGAGTCGCTCTTATGCTGTCCAAAGTAGCACGAAATGCACTTGTAGGATGGGAATCTCACGGATCCAGAATCATCAAAGCATCATTCAAAACAAAGAAGGAGGGGATCTTAATGAATATTATCCAATGTTATGCACCCACCAATGATAGCAACGACGACATTAAAGATCAGTTCTACGAGCGGCTGCAGTCAATCATTGAGAAATGCCCAAGAAAGGACCTAACTATTCTGATGGGAGATCTAAATGCCAAAGTCGGAATAGACAACACCGGATATGAAGATATTATGGGACGACATGGACTGGGACAGAGAAACGAAAATGGAGAAAGATTTGCAAATCTGTGTGCATTCAACAAATTGGTCATAGGAGGCACAATATTTCCACACAAACGTATACACAAGGCTACATGGATCTCACCGGACCACACTACAGAGAACCAAATAGATCATATTTGCATCAACAAAAAATTCCGAAGGACAATGGAAGATGTGAGAACCAGGAGAGGTGCTGACGTAGCTTCAGATCACCACCTAGTTGTAGCCAATTTAAAACTGAAGCTAAAAAGAACTGGACAAACAGCACTACAAAGGTTCAATACAGCCTTCCTTCGAGATACTGACAAACTCAATGAATTCAAGATAGCTCTCAACAACAGGTTCCAAGCCTTACAAGATCTACTGAAGAAGAAGAAACTACTATGGAGGACAACTGGAAAGGCATCAAGGAAGCATTAACTTCAACGTGTCAAGAGGTTCTGGGCCTAAAGAAACACCATCATAAGGAATGGATCTCTATAGAAACACTGGACAAGATCAAAGAAAGGAAGAACAAGAAGGCAGCAATTAACAACAGCCGAACACGAGCAGAGAAAGTCCAAGCACAAGCTGAATACATAGAAGCAAACAAACAAGTGAAGAAGCATTAGAGCCGACAAGAAGAAATACGTGGAAGAACTAGCAACGACGGCAGAAAAAGCTGCTAGAGAAGGAAATATGAAACAGCTTTACGATACAACGAAGAAACTAGCAGGGAAATACAGTAAACCAGAGAGGCCGGTCAAAGACAAAGAAGGCAAGCCAATCACCGAAATTCAACAACAGCGTAACAGATGGGTAGAATACTTCGAGGAACTCCTGAATAGGCCGGCTCCAATGAATCCACCGGACATCGAAGCAGCACACACAGATCTTCCTATAGATGTCAACCCACCAACGACGGAAGAAATTAGAATGGCCGTCAGACAAATCAAGAACGGGAAAGCAGCAGGACCCGACAACATACCAGCTGAAGCACTGAAATCAGACATCGAAGCAACCACAAGCATGCTTACCTTCTATTCAAAAAGATTTGGGAGGAGGAACAAGTGCCATGGACTGGAAAGAAGGACACCTCGTCAAGATTCCAAAGAAAGGAGATCTGAGCAAATGTGAAAACTACAGAGGCATTACACTACTGTCAATACCAGGGAAAGTCTTCAACAGAGTGTTGCTGAACCGGATGAAGGATGCAGTAGACGCCCAACTTCGAGATCAACAAGCTGGATTCCGTAAGGATCGGTCGTGCACAGACCAAATTGCAACACTACGGATCATCGTCGAACAATCAGTTGAGTGGAACTCATCACTATACATCAACTTCATTGATTATGAAAAGGCATTCGACAGTGTAGATAGGAGGACATTATGGAAACTTCTTCGACACTACGGAGTTCCTGAGAAGATTGTCAATATTATCCGGAACTCATACGACGGACTACAGTGCAAAGTAGTGCATGGAGGACAGCTGACAGATGCATTCCAAGTAAGGACTGGAGTCAGACAAGGCTGTTTACTCTCTCCCTTCCTCTTTCTTCTGGTGGTCGACTGGATTATGAAGACCTCGACATCTGAAGGAAAACACGGAATACAATGGACAACTCAGAATCAATTAGACGATTTGGACTTCGCAGATGACCTAGCCCTCCTATCACGTACACACGAACAGATGCAGATGAAGACAGCCAGTGTAGCAGCAGTCTCTGCATCAGTAGGCCTCAGCATACACAAAGGGAAAACCAAGGTCCTCAAATTCAAGCGGAGAACAGCAATCCAATCACTCTTGATGGCGAAACTCTGGAAGATGTAGAGTCCTTCACATACCTGGGAAGCATCATCGATGAACAAGGAGGTTCAGATGCAGACGTAAAGGCGAGGATCGGCAAAGCAAGGGTCGCATTCCTACAATTGAAGAACATATGGAACTCAAAACAACTTTCAACCAATATCAAAGTGAGAATCTTCAATACGAACGTCAAGGCAGTTCTACTGTATGGAGCTGAAACTTGGAGAACTACAACAACCACAATCAAGAAAGTACAAGTATTTATAAATAGCTGTCTACGCAAGATACTCAACATCCATTGGCCGGATACCATCAGCAATAGCCTTCTGTGGGAGAGAACAAACCAACTTCCAGCTGAAGAAGAAATTAGGAAAAGACGATGGAAATGGATAGGACATACATTACGCAAATCGTCAAACTGCATCACGAGGCAAGCCCTAACTTGGAATCCTGAAGGGAAGCGGAAAAGAGGAAGGCCAAAGAACACATTACGTCGGATAATAGAAGCAGATATGAAAAGGATGAATTACAACTGGAAGGAGCTGGAAAGGATTGCCCAGGACAGGGTTGGATGGAGAATGCTGGTGAGCGGCCTATGCTCCTTCACGAGAAGTAACAGGCGTAAGTAAGTAAGATAACTTTAGTACAATAACCTAGAAAGGTGGCATTAAAACATATAATTTTACATAAAAAGAAATGAAATCTTAAAAATCTCAAAAATAACAGCTTCATTAATTTAATATGCTGCAAAAATTACTACATTGATAGATAATTAAAGCCAATTAATTGATTATGAAGTTTTATTCGTAGTGTTCGAGGTATGCACTAACCTGGTAGCTTTGAAGGCTTAATAGGTTGCAAAAATGTGGTTCCTGTGAAAATCAGACAGTTTCGTCTTAGTCTGGATAACCCCAATCGGATCAAGTGTTTGAAAAAAACATCTATGAATGAGCTGCATATATAACAATCTACTGGTCAATGAGCTATGATTAATGTCATATTTGTCTAGTCCTTTTAGTGGTGACTGAATTCTATAGATAAATTTTCAATGTGGCCACTAGTTTAAGTGATTCGGCATTGCATGCACTATACCGAGATGTTATGTGGTTAGGTATGATGGGAAAAGAGTAGTGTAGGCCAATATGTGGTTAGGTGTAGTCGATAGGAAAACTTGGACCTAAGTTTCACGGTGTTTGGAACTTGTCACTTAGGTGTACCTGAACTCTTGAGAGGACTGGTGATCTCTAGAGGATTCGAACCTATGTCCCCCTAATTCAGAGCCCGAGAAGTTCCCGCTGAGGTGTACATAACCTTGGGTGAAATAAAAAAAACTGGAGTACTGGATTTTGTTTTAATGGTTGAACACTGTTGAGATATGATATCTGCAGTTTTTGGACCTCACATCCCAGAAAGAAATGCATAAAAAGTTGAAATAAATCTGCAAATTATGTATATATGTTGAGAGAGATTTGTCAATCCAGTGATTCGGGAACATAACTTTCAAGCACTAGATCACCTGAGGAAACATCGTTTTATCTATTAAGCTATATGAACCATTTTTTCCATAATATATATGTGACAGCACCTTAGTACACAAGCCTGTAAGTGGTTGAGAAATGACTAAATATCATTCAATTAAAAACAGATATAACTAAACTTTCAGATGATTATATAGCTTCAGCAGCACGACAAAGGTCTGAGGGAGAAGTCGTACTGCTGACTGTACAGAGGTGTGAAGGCAGTGAGGTGCTCTATTCAGACAACCAGCATGACAGCGATGCCGCCTTCCCACAAGGAGGGGTGGGGTTAGAAAAGGTCGACCCTAGGAATTCACACCTGGTCTTACCCTACGGATATCCGTCTCTGGCGGTAAGATCTCAACAAGCACGGAGCTAGCACGAAAATTACCCACAAAAAGGTCGTGTGTGACCGACCTCGAGCACTTGTCCCTTGGGCACTGCGGTCACACTCTCAGGTCACTAAGACCACCTCTAGTCCAATTTACTTTTTAGATACCTCCAGAAGAACCCTTCCACAGTGTGTGCAACCGGGAAGTAATAAATACTCTCATATCTCTAACAGCGCCTCTGTATAAGTGAACATGAATATGGAACCAACAGGTTGAAAGTTTAGTAACTGGATGCCGAGGTTTGGTGTTCTGTTAGAAGAGATGAAGCTATTTTTAAGTTAAGACATAAAGATAAGGAACAATGAAAAGTTTAGCAACGATGTAGGCAACAAAGATAATATTTTACTTCCTACTGTACGCTTGCTTTTAAAATAAATTAATGTACAGTACGTAAAATGCAAATCAAAATTGCTTGAGAAAGTTATTTATCGGGACTTTATTTGGAAAGCACAAGTTTAAAAACATCAAGGATTAATATCATTCTAGGCAAAGTTGGACAGTGTCCAGCAGTGGAATTCAGGACGTGTATTTCGGCTTAACTGGGACTCGTTAGCTGGATTCCCCTGGATTTACTAGCTACTGTCCATCTTTGCTTAAAATGCTTATGACTTAAAAGAGCTACTGAAGCGATTCTTAGATGCACATATGTCGAAAGAAACCAACCAATCATAGTTCAAACCAGAAGGGTTGCATATTGATGCTTTGAAAAAAATTAGTTTAATGTAGATTAATTTTTTTTCATTCTTCTGTCTTAATCCATATATGTGCATAAAGAGACAGAAGTCAAGGTGATTAAGTAGAATATTTGTATGCAAACGATCAATGGCGTAGTGACTTGATGATATGCATATTATCAATTTATTTGTTGACTTGCATACTTTGTTATGTATTTTATTCTACATTAGGTCCTAACTCAAACTTACGATAAGCAAATAAGAATTTTAAAATGGTTTTGTTTCCATAGAAATATTTAGTATTTATATGATGACAGATTTTCAGAAAACCTTAGACCCCGACATAATTTAAATTAGCAAGTTGTAAACTGTAGCTTTGACGCTATACTGATGTACATAAAATTGATCGTCTCTAGCCTGTGCCATGGCAATCTTATAGGTCACATTTCAGTATTTTTGAATCCAGGTAACCCATTTCAGGAATATTAATTATTGAGTAATATTCATTCTGAGTAGGTATAGATGTAAAAGTTGAAATCGTTTTACATCTTTCAGCTGCTAAAACCAGACAGCTAATTTTCTAAAGCAAAAGAAAATACTTACCAACCTAAATAATCATCCTTGTTCCCTTGATCTTTATCGTATACTTCAAATGTTACTGACTGACCATGACAAATATCGACGATAGACTAAATAAAATGTATTTAAAAGAAAAGTAAGTAGTATTTAGATGATCGAATTGGACACAACATAAATAATAAAAAAAGTTAATGAGATGTTAAATTCTAAGAAGTCTAATTAATATGAAGAAACTGTTGACATCCAGGAGAAAATTGGAAAACTAGATTACTGAATAGTTGTATATTTGAAGTTATATAAAAAAGTGAGCACAGGTGATTTACATGAATGAACACAAGAAACACAAATATCACGACAAATTTATTAACAATGGGCTAGTGAATAAAATTTCGGGAGTTCTATCTAGTAAAGTTAATTTGATTTGAAATACATTCCCAGGAGTCGACACAGATAATAAAACTACGAACGGATTTTCGCTAAACGATTTCTATCACTATTGTATTAAGTATGGTCAAATACACATTACTTATTTACACCTATCACTCGTGGGATCGTAATAGCATTCTCCATCCAACTCTGTCCTAGGCAATCTTATCCAGTTGTTTCCAGTTGCCATTCATCCTTTTTCATGTTTGCTTGCAATTCTCGACGCAGTGTTCTTTGGCCTTCTTCTTTCCCATTGCCCTTCAGGATTCCAAGTTAGCGCTTGCCTCGTGATGTAATTTAGTGATTTCCGCAATGTATTTCATATCCATCTCCAGAGTCTTTTCCTAATTTCCTCTTCAGATGGACGATAGTTTTTTCTCTCTCACAGTAAGTTGTTACTGATGGTATCTGGCCAGCGGACGTTGAGTATCTTGCATAGACATCTGTTTATAAATACTTGTACATTTTTGATGATGGTTGTGGTAGTTCTCCAAATTTCAGCTCTGTACAGTATAACTATCTTGATATTCGTATTGGAGATTCTGATTTTGATACTAGTTGACAGTTGTCTTGAGTTCCATATGTTCTTCAATTTTAGGAATGCTTCCCTTGCTTTACCAATCCTTGCCTTTACATCTGCATCATATCTTCCTTGTTTATCAATGATACTAACCAGGTACGTTAACCTTTCCACCTCTCCCAGAGCTTTTTCACCAAGTATGATTTAGATAGTACTCTCTGCGTTGTACATTGGGATCTTGCTTTTCCTTTGTTTATGTTGAGACCTACTGGTGCATAGGCTGCTGCTACACTGACTGTCTTGATCTGCATTTGTTCGTATGTATGAGGTAGAAGAGCTAGGTTACCTGCAAAATCCAAATAGTCTTGTTGCGTCTAAGCTGTCTATTATATTGCGTGGTTCGATATATATCATTTACTATCCTTAAGAAAATACCAGACAAAATGTCTCTTACACATGATCACAAATATCTCGATGAAGTGGCAAAGGCTGTTCCGCTGAGTATGCTCCATTTTCTAACACTACTAATGAACCACTTATTTGTCACTTTATTTTGGACGCTCACTTATGTTAAATAACTGCAATAATTCATGCAAATCTGCTTTAGTTGACACATAAAAGATGCATGTAAAGTTATATAGATGTCTTGAAAACTGGAGTGATGTGAGCTAGTTATGCGGACAGACATAAGCAGTATGTAGCAGGAACTGGAGGTAGAATGCTTAGCAGCAGAGGTTTGAAATAAATAGAAGAGGAAGAAAAACGAAAAGCAATCGGAATAAGAACTGGGTTAGAAGAATGAAGTTGTAAAGGACGACTCAAGGAAGATATTCAAATGATGTATTTAGTTTATGATTTTCCTACTTTATAAAGCCACTGTGTGACTTAACATAAATTAATGTATAATCGTTTATCGTACTTGAGTTCTCGTTTACTACAGTGCTATCTAGTAAAAATAATTTTTTATAGAGCGTCAAGAAAGCAAGAGGAACATATCTTAGGGTATTATGCAAACATACATAAAGATAAAAAACCAGGTCATAATGTCGAATCACTGATGTTTGCAATATGGACGATATGATCATGACTCAGAATTCAAAAGACCATTAACAATCAGTTGCTTAATCTATCATTCCAAGGGTACATTGCAGAGTACTTACGAAGTTAAGGGCAGGTCTATTGTGTCATTATAGAGTTGAGATGAAAATTATGTGAGTGAATAGACAGGCGAGATGCATAACTATTTTGATGAACGCTATATATTAGCAGTGTAAATCAATATAAATTTATTTCTTTTTTGTCAGTTTGAAGGTAATATATATATGATATTTAACCTTCAGTACTTCTAGTGATATATTTTCAACTTGATGAACCTATTTGCTTATTGGTTGCAATAGTACAAAGAACTCGCAAAGTTATTCACGACTGATGAAAAAGACCTGAAGACATCAATAATATGCATTATTTTCTTACCTCGAACGGAAATCTTGACGTAGTATTTTTGTCTGTTCTGACGAGTAAAATCGATAAAGGTACAATGATTTAGCTAGTCTGACCTAGAAAATGGCCGGTGGTAGAAAGCAGGCAGCAGAAACATACCAGTGACTGAAGTTGAAACACGGTATACAAATATGCGCACAGACAAGCGCAAATTAAAGAAAGGAAATATTTTCAGTATAAGTCACGAGGACTGAACAAATTCTAGTGTGAAATTGCACACACGTACGATATAGCATGCGTTCATTATGCAGCAAATGGTTATTACATTTGTGACTCAATTATGAAAGTCACATAACTATCCAACTTTTGTGGATTAACATAAAAGTGAGAGAAATTAAGAATCTCAGATAGTTTATTTCTTAGTGAAAAAGACAATTCGATTAAACATGTAGACTATTAACCAGGAATCATTTGACCATCTATTCAAACTTATAATCCATCAAGGTTTACATACTTTTGGTAGTAATCGAAGTCCAATTTCTCATTATTAAGATGTACATGTTTATATGAAACAAAGAGGACATTAGTTGAATGCTCATGATTCACAGGAAGACATGAATAAGCCAAAACTGCATCTTCAGTACTTTTGTTTATCTGAAAATGAAGCCCCTAGTCACCTAATTGTAACAGTTTTAGGTTTTTGAACAATTAACCAACGATTTATACACAGATAAAGGTAAAAGTCCCTGATTTCATCGACTAATGCCATGCTTGGGCTTGATCACAATCCGTTATTTCCAACTTACTCTGATTACTATAGCACTGTAAATTTTGGCAGAGCACTAATATATCTGAGCAAAAATCCCAGCTAAAGATTAGATCCTTTTAACCAAAATAGGTTCACCTAACAAAAGTTTTATTCAGAAAATCGACTCGCAATTTTTGGTTTTATTTAGAGACCGCTTATCTTATCATATTCATTAGTCCTGGTGGGTTGGTGTCTAATGAAATCTCGACAACAATTGAAACAGCTCGTTTGGCTTTTGCCCACTTACATCACTCATGGTGTATACGAAATGTCCGTTTGCCGACGTAAGGACGAATACAATTAGAGGCAGTTCGTTCTGTCCTACCATATAACTATGAAACGTGACCTAGAAGATTAGGGGAGATTTGTAGGTTGCTTGTATTTGATCATATATAGGTCGTGTATACTGAGATCATCAAGTGAAAAGTGTTGACCTTAAAAGCAAGGTAATAAATAAATATAGTAAGGTGGTTGATGAGATTATGAATAACCGTTGATTTAGGTGGATGGAACATGAATTACGAATGCCGAACCACTACCTGTCATGATGCGAGATAACGGCTAACGTGGAAGTAAATTTGAAAAAAACGTAGGGGCAGCCAGATTAAAACTTGGTACCAGCATATGAATTCATTGATTGTTGCTTTGCTATGTTGGAAGATGTTAACTACCTGATACACGTCTGTGTGATTGCCTTGATCGATGGTTAAAGGTATTGGTAACATAACTCTGAATTGGTCCCAATGGAGATGTATCTAATCAGATCCTGAGTTTCTGAACTATTTGGTAATTTTTATTGCGAGATCTAACGTTTTGTTTATAAATCATATCATAGTTACCTGATCTTTTTTATAACCACTGATATTATGACTATTACTTCTACTGCTTTGGTATCGCTCCAGGTAATTTTGTCTCGCTGTGCTATCGTGATGTGATAGCTTGAACCGACACACATGTATAGTCAATTTTAAACTACTTTTGGCCAACTGATATGTTTAAAGACTACAGATCCACTTTCATTAGAATTACTGAATAGATTTCGACTTTTTTCTTGGAATGTCATTCAAACCAAAACTAGTCTGGATTCAACGGGCAAAGAAGGGAGAGAAGCTATTAGGTTGAGGACCACTAAGGCCATAGCAGTAAATCAAGCTGCTGGTGCTGGTTGGAGTGTCACTGATTGGTTCAGTGTCAAAGTTACAGAACTCGACATTCTGATTGGCGGTTTTGTTACGTGATATTAGTCAGAGGCCACGATTCATAACACACCAATTCTGAGAATAGTGGAACACTGGAAAAAGCAGAGGTCAATACATCTATTTACAATCCGCCATCGTTATTTACAATTTGTGGAAAATTGAAAAAGAATAAACCTATAACATTCGCAGAACATTTAACACTGTTGTACTGAAGCCTCTAAAATGAAGCACTAGTTTACGCTACTGGGATCAATGGCTCTAGAGATTTAAAAGCTGTAGAATATATGTTTCTGCTTGTAGGAGATATTAAGGATCAGTGGAGCACAGTTAGTGTTCAGAGCAATGTTTAACAACAAGAACAAAAGAAATGAATAACTGATTTACAAACTTATCAAAAAATTCAGGAAATTTTATTTTATATCTGACAGTAAAATACTTCAGTAGAGTATATGATGGACCAATTTTGTAAAATACTACTGAACGAAAATGAGTAAAATACCACCATAGTCATGCAGTTTAGTCTGTTTGAAGTACAAAACAATCTTCGCATCAATACAAGTTAGGAAATATTTATTATGCACAGATTTTTGTACAATGACAAGAGTTGATAACACTTATCTAAACAAATAACATAATTAAATTTAAAACAAATGATGGAGAAGGTAGAAGAGCATAAATCTATAATAGTACAATAAATTTCAAATATTGTTTTTTATGGTATCCTAAAGGTTTATAAAATATGTCGATTAGTACGTAAAACATTATGCACCGTTTCATGTGCATAAATGTTTGCAGTTTTCAACAAATAATGAAATGTAGGCGTTTTGGGTCGTTTTCAGATAGGAATCTTTCTAGGGTAATAAACAAGTCTCATGGAAGGGAGGAGTGGTTAATATCATAAATGGTGAAGCAATCACACTATGGGGTAACCTTCACGTCTAGTAAGCACAATAATGTCGTACAGAAGTGTATCCTGTAACGTGGTGTAACTTAAACATAATATCGAAGAGATAATCTGCATTTAGACTATTGTCGAAATAACGCAACCAATCTCATTAGTTAACGATATATAAATGTTACATGTTTCTGAAATATATTTGAGTCATTAATAGACGCTTTACTAACTCTAAATATACTGTGATACTCTGAAATTCGCTTGAAATGAGAGGTAATTTAAAATTGCTCGAAACAAATTTATCTTAAATGCTGAGTATAGTGAGTTAGATGAGATCGAATTCGGAGATATATAGAAAAAAGGAAACCAATCGATATCACGAGACAATGACTAAAAAAGACAGCAATTAAGAAAACTGAATGACCCACCTCAAAATGTTGGTTCCAAACTGGTTCTAGTGTTTCTTTAACAACAGAAGTAGTGAACGTTCTAGCGCCAACTGTGAATGAAAAAAAATTAAGTTGCCGATTTCGTAAAGTTGAAAGAGTATGTTTTTCATTGACGATCATTTTATATTCTATTACATGTAAGTTTTTCGAGAGTCATTAGGAATATCAACTCCAAGATTTACGTAAATTTAAGTGAGGCCTCGGAGATATGTTGCCTGAACTTCACTAAAGACAGCCACTATATCCAAACCATACACAACTGATTATAAATTGGAAGAAGTGAAAATATAACAATTTTCGATTCATACACTTAACACTCATATTTTGATTCGGATCTTTGGTAGGAAGTATTGAATTAATGCCCAAGATTACAGAAATCTTCAAAACGTGGTCGCAAAGCCCAAGGGGCGACTGCTTGAGGCCAGTCACGCACGGCATTTTCATGGGAAGTTTTTGATTTGTTACCTCCGCACTTCAAAAGGCCTTACAGTCAGAAACGGAAGTCCGTGGGGTGAGGTGAGGTGTGATATTTATAGGGTCGACTTTTTATAACCCCTTCCTTCCGTTGTGAGGAGGCAGCATCGCTGCAGATGATGGTTGTCCGAGGGAAACACCTTACTGCCGTCACATCCCTCTACAGTCAGCAGTACAACTTCACACTTGGGCCTTAAGTTGCTGGTTTGTGAATAAACTATCGGATATCAAAAGTTGCAGTATAATGGAAACTGGTTCATATTAACAAGTTACACAAGACTACAGGCGGTTAAAATAAGTGACTGCGGGATCATCTAGACGTCAGGAAGAGTGGTGACTAATCTGTTACAACAATCATGTATAAAGAATTGTCGACAACCGGAGTTCCAGAAAGGCAATAGGGATAGCACAACTAACATTTTGAATCCACTTTTTAACTACATCTATTTTATTGAAAATAAAATACAAATCTACCATAAAATTGACATTTACCTCGTATAACACAATATGGATCAGATGTACGGTGTCCAATCATATTTTTATCACCTGCTTTAAGATTTCGACCAGATATGATATTGATATGAAGAACGCCCTTTTAACATTGATCAATAATGAAGGTATAAAAATAATTCGAGTAGCAATAGTGAATAAAATGAGAAATAATGATGTTCGAAAATTAATTTAGGCATTCAAAACAATTTGATGATCAGAAGAGAATACACTTAATTGTTTACCGAGATAACACAGTTCAATATATCATAAAATTATAAAAGATGGATGCAATATGGAATCAAACTACGTAAGAGATTAAAAACCAAGAAAATGAAAGGGTGTTTTCTATATTAAGAATAATATTGTTGCTTAAAACTACGAGCCACTTTTCAGACATCTTCCAAACACCAACCTGAAGATCTGTTATAATAAATGATCAATTAGTGCTACAATGACATCTGATTGCCTTAGTACATCATCCATTATTTTGAGTTTATAAACCCTTGAAAAGTACGCATAAATGAATCCACTTGTTTAAAAAAGGTACAGTTCCACCAATTGCTTTAACTAAAATACCTAAGTTCCTAGGCCTGACATCAAAAGTTTAAAACTACCAAGTGGAAGAAGCAATAATGTCAATTGATATCACAAACAATGATTAATACAATTCAGTATTGTTTTTTATGATACTAATCACGTTCTGAATTTGGGTTAGTGTCGAGACATACTGTACTATTCGGACTTCAGATACGCACTTACTTGAGGTAATGGATATTTCAAACGCTGTATGTCAATATCAGGAACCAGTTGAACTGGTAAACGATTTGGGAGGACGACCAACTGGTTGACAACATTACGAAGTACTGTATTCAATGTTTGTCTGAATGGATTTAAAACAAATACAGTTGTTAAACAGTAGAAGTAATGTAAAAAATAGACAAGATCGAAGTTTAATACCTTTTAAAAGTGATTTTCATCTAATTACATAACTTGTGTTTTCGAATTCTCTTGGTGACGTGAAAAATAAACTGATTACCGTGTCTTTCTCAGTCCCTAAACATTTAGTGTGTCTTAATATTTGATATTTAATTCACTTATAATATATCCAGTAATTGTGAAGATTAAGTTTCTGGCAACAAGATAATTTATTTGTGATTGCCAAGTTATTGACTAAATAAGCTCTAGTTTGGACAGGAATTTTTATAGTACACCATCATGAAAATAACACATCAGTTGAATAAAAGACTTTCTACACGTCTACAACATTAAATCTGAATAGCAAGTTTATAGTAGTAGATGAGTAGTTACTTTGAAATCTATCACAGACTATTTTAAAATAACATAAAAGTACAGGAAATCTGGAAAAATTTAAGGTGCAAGGAACACAAGTATTTTACTGTCGATGAAATGTATTTTTTGGATATAAATGAAAAGGATGAAGGACTAATAAATAACAGTTGTGATTACATTTTTCAGTCATATCCAGCCATAACATATGTAGACGTGAATGCCGAATAACAGTTTATAGCTTTTATAAGAGTTTGTTATTGTAAAGTTAAACTAACACTATAGACGAATATAGATTACGAAGTGATTAAGTCCTAATTGTTATCACATATCTTTAACACTGATTGAAAAGACTGCAAAGCTTCTGAACACTTAGGAAGTTTTAAGGCTTACCAATAAATTGTGTACAACTTGATCAAATGGTTAGAATTTGTTTTTTTGTTTAGTGAATCGTCCGACGATAAAGCGGACAGATGTCCAGCCTGATTAACATCTACTTAAACGAAGTGTTCATCTAGTCACGTTGATCCAAGCAATAATAATTTTTAGTCCTAAAGAAATCTCTAGCTTACAGTTTTCACTGTTGCACTACCGGTCATCTTCTTAAAGAACAAATCTTCATTTATATTAAGACCCTTACGTCGAATCCATCCCGACTACCAACGCTGGAGATCTCGAAGTCACCAAACAACTGTTCGTCCTCTCAAATCCAACATTCAATATCTTGACCATGTTACGATTATGAAACGTTAGTACATGCTTTTGTGTAAAGAAATTTATTGACGGTAGAAGGATGGTGATAGTCAGTAAGCCAAGGTTCAGACTACTGCAACTCATTCATATGCAGAGTCAAATGTACAATAAAGGACATATAATTAAGTGTCCTGAAAACGTCTCATAATAGAATAACAATATAAAGTAAGAAAACTAGAAAAAATAACATATTAGAGTAAACCCACTGCAAACCAGGGAGTCCCAGGATATTTCCCATATCAGTTAAAGAGAAATTGATATACTAAAATTCAAATGAAAAATGAATGTTACTGACTAATACTTCCATAAATAATAGACAACACAGAAAAAAAAGATTTACCAAGCTGATACATTTCCCACATGGTATGTGTGAAGTCACTTTGTAATGACGAGTTGAGAAAAGAAATGTATGAGTAGCTGACGTCTAGTGAATAAATTTATAAATTTTTAATGAGGATTTGTTGAATAGTATAATGCTAATCGTAAACTCGTTTGATTTACTAATTCCCAATATATTTTTTACTGTCTACGGAAAGATTTATTATGGAGCATTTATTTTTTAGATAAAGAATATAATGGTGATTTGAACGTCCGAATTACAGGAGCTTCTCTCTATCTCTATAATTCCTATAGGACAGTGTGATTTGGTAAACTTTGAAAATTGGTATGTATTTATTCACATGAATCGAAGTAATAATTATACATAACAAATAAATATAACTTAATTTTCCTATAAATTTTGTTGCCAATCAACTTCTAGTTCAAACTGACAGTCTCAGAATTAGTATTTGATGTTAACGAAGGCTAATGAGATCTTGAATTTTAATATACGAAATTTCGTTGATCATGATACTTGTGATAAGCCAGAGTTATGTAGCACCTTTCCAGCTACTGTAGTTTTCAGCCAAATTAAAGAAGCTTATAGGTTAGAAGACATTAACGAAGAGTTATTAGTACTAAACGGTAGCATCAGAGTGCATAACTTAGTTTTCTATTCAATAAATAATGAGTCATAAAAATACAAATAATCTTTGCGTTGTGAATGACGGTGCATTTATAACCGACACCAAGACAATTGCCAACGTTTCCAGTACTATACTTGTAATTAGTTATGAACTTTCAGATAACATAAGATCAGAAGTCATACACAAAAGTATTAACTACAAACAATACTTTCCTTAACTCATTTCCAAATCGGTAAAGCCATAACGTACGTTAAGGTTTTAAGAAACCGTAGAATAGTAGAAATCGCATCCATTTACTTCATTTGTACCGGACCTGATATTCTAGTACGTCTACTAAAACTGTTTAAACTTCTCGGAAAGTAAGCATTTATCATAACCGCTCGAAAAAATATATACATTATTGTTTCAAATCTCGAGATAAGAATGACTTGCAAAATACAGGCATGTGGAAATCTATAGATTAATAGAAAAGAATTGAACGTCAAGAAACTTTCGGTTGTTTACTAGCTAAGGAACTTATAACTAATTAGTAATATGGTTTCCTTAAATTTAAATCTTGAGTAAATTGTAACTGACTCCTTTAACTTCCTATTTTTTGGACTTAATCTCGGATATCAGTTTCCTAACGGGAGACTAACATCTCGGCATCAAATATTCAGTGAGTAGGTGCTTCGAATGTTTTCGCCGTCATAAACATCAAGAACATGGAACGAAATTCATTTTGTCGGCATCCCATCTGGTCGCGGGTGGTGTATTGCAAGGTGTCTTAAGTCTTGTGCTCTTTATAGCTTTTATAAAGGATAACTAAGACTGAATCAGCGTGCGTAAACTTTTTCTGTCGGCAGATGATTTTAAGATAGCTTATTCATTTTCTCCACAAAAGCATACCAATATATAAAACTGTATTATTATAGAGCCCAGTGAGGTCGACTTATGGTGTTTGAAATGAACTTCGGGATTTAACACTGCTAAACGTGGATGGATTTCCTTTAGTAGTCCTTTTCTCAATTATGACTTCCGACTAAATTGTACTAGTCAGCAATAAAACCGCTTTAAATATAGTGGTTAAAGAGAAGATGGTTAAGCTAAAACTATTTTGAGCTAGATACAGGGTAAATTCCTAAGGCGTTATTGGGTTTTTAATAAAAAAAACAGAATGAGCCAAATTGTCAAAAGGCGGTGTCTAAACAACTTATTCGTGATTGCATATAGAATACTACAAGTTTGCAATTGTACAGAAACTAAAGAAATATACCAATAATTACTGACTGGACTATCCAGAAAGCACACAGTAACCGCACCAGCGAACGGGACTTTTGGAACTAAAGGCTTCATAACGACACGTAGTGTACCACGCAGCTTACATTGCAAATGAAGTAAAGATGGAAAGTGAAAAATATTTTATTAATCAATTGAATAGAATAGAATAAATATATGGTCTTAGTTTCACGAATGACAGCATTAGTATTTACTATCCAACTGTAGACATTCAGGTAAACTTTCCTAAAGAATAAAAAAAGTCTATCAATTTTAGCTAGTATCTGATTATCAGCACCATCCCTGAACATCGGTTTAGTAGTCACTACTAAAACACCGAAGTACATTTGAACGATTAATGTCACTTTTCTGAGAAAAATTATGTTTAAACCAAGTTCAAACTTCTCATTTTATCTCAAAGCTGTATTCGAGCTTGGAAGTCAAATTATTGCACTTTCACAACCTTAATTTAAGCACAATATAAGCTTGGAGTTCATTTCTTGTTATTTCGAATAGTTTGAGAAAATGTATTGAGTACATGCTAAAGTACCTATTCTTTGCACATTGTCTAACGCTTTGGAAACAATTATACTAAGCATGGTATTTAAGAATAGCAATATGCACGATATAATTGTATGTGTAAACATTCTCATTAATCTCGTAATGAAACTATCCACAGGATCATACTCGAAATCATCAATGAGGCTTAGGAAATTTAGTGTTGGTATGACCCTGACAAGTAAGAGAAACACACTGAACAATCTAATAAAAAAATTGTCGGCCCTTGAGAGCAAAAACTATAAAACTAGAGAATATAATTTACTCACAATAAAGATAACTTTAAAATGCTTAAAGAGGACACTAATTTCGATTCTTCCAGAGGTCTAAAATGACTGTTTTTGTTTAGAAGCTGGATAAGGGTCGAATTGTTGTAACACAGAACTGTGTGATATTTCAGCAAAGTTACTGAAGACAGCTTTTAAAAAAAGGAGTATTATTTAGTTGCTTTTGCAAGACCTACAGAATAGAGGGTGACTTCTTTCAGGTCCACTTATTAAACGAACTTAAAAACTAAACTAGCTGAACTAGATGGAATATGTTTGAAGATACTAAAGTAAGTTGTGTTGTTTGTTACTAAGCCTTTGTGTGTTGCTGTTTGTCACTACCTCGGAGGGCGATACCAAAGCAATGAGAAATTGATTGGAATTTAGTTCTGATGAAAGGACGAAGACTTTCGTCAAAACTACCTCATTTCATTTAGTGCAAAGATGCTTTTAATATACTATAAGAGCACTTAGACAGTATTAGTAATTTTCGGAAGATAGTACGATTTTAAGGGAACTTCTAGTCTTTCTGACGTTTCATATAAATGGAAAAACTGGCGTTCCTCCGGATTACAAACTGCTTGTGAATTTAACTATTATTGAGTAAAACAGGGTGTTTGGTACTTATATACTTGGTTGGCATTCAAATAAACATTAGGATCAATAATTGGATGAGTGTAAAATTTCTTAGTTGGACAATGAAAAACACGGATACTCTGAACTATCCAGCTTGAAATATATAACTCCAGAACGATTAACAGGCATTTAAATTAATTAGCTTAACAGCTACAGACTTGGTACATGCCACTTAGACTAAATGTGTAGATATACAGGGTTAAATAATCTGAAAGATATGAATTATTAAAAAGTACCTCAAACTCCTTCACTCCCGCCTTGACTTTTCCTAAGTTTACTTTGATTCTAGCATCACTGTATAGCCTGTGAAAGCATTAAATAAAGCAGGACTTACATAAGGTCTAGGTCCATAACGATTTCATCCTTTCTGATGTTTTCATTCATATAAACTTTCACTCCACCGATTCTAGGGGGCTACAATACAAATGACTAACAAAATCCATCTACCGTGTCACCTAAGTCAATAGTGGCAAAATTAAAAGGTTTTAGTGCAGTTGGTAGATTTTGTGCAACGACAGGCTCGATAGATGCAACGATAATATCTCTCGCGTACTCACTAATGGATGGCCACATTCGTTTAATAACCTAACAAAGTATCTCATTTTTAGACTTCATTACTTTGTTTAGCCATTCCGCTCTTTCAACATCTGGAAAGTAAACCTTAGTAAATAATTTACATTATAAGATTTCATTGATGTTAAGCCTACCCAAGACGGAAGATCTCTTACGGTAAAATTTTGGATTATGAATGCTTTTTCGTCTTCTCCAATGGCTTTAAGTGAGCTTGTTAACCTTGACTGCTTATTTCTAGTATGTTGCAAAACGAAGTATCCAAGCGACCCAACCAAGACCCAGGTAGTACTAAGTCGAAAATATCCTACGCCGTAAATGGAGGCGCATGTCAGGAACAACTTAAAGTAATCCCAAGAGAGTGACAAAAATGTTTGTTTAGGAGGCAACGTCTTCTTCACTTCGTCATTGGAAGCACTTCCTTCTAACATCTTCACCTGACTAACAAACTGTCCGCGTTTATATCACCGCGCTCAAGGTCCAGAATCTGAAGGCATTAAACAATCCACACTTCCTATCGCGTAAATTCTGTTCTCTGCGCCAAAACGTAAATGGATTGTACTTTTTCATTACGTTTAGCAAAAAGACTGATCACAGGCCATAAAACGGAAAATACAGTACAAGCAAGGCTGTCCACTGACTACAAAAATGTAGGAATGCCATTATCAAATGATTTTTCGTTGCAATGAGGGGACGATTTCAATGAATATCATCCCGGACCACATAGTGAAAAGCCATAACAGTAATGGTAATAAAGATCAGTCTCATGAGAGGTCGCAGTCCATCTTTGAGAAGAACTCACGAAGAAACAATGCTATTAAAGAAGTCACAGGTGTTCGTAGTTTGACAACAGTTCTACACGTAACTCTTTTTTCATTGAATAATGCCGAAGAAATTCAATCACGAGTCAGAAATGAAGGGGTTCAAAGACGTATTTGGGGAGCTATCGGCAAGCGCTTGGTCCAAGCTGGCAGGTAGTCACTAGGGTCACGTAGCATGGCCTAACCATTCGTGATCTATTGTGGATGTGTGACCTAGTGCCTTCAGTTAGGTGTACCCAGTAAAACTAATTAGGTCAACCCCAATGTCGAGGACGTACAGAATTGTTTGTTTCGGGGATTTATTTACCACTACACCATCCGAACAAGCTATCTGAGCAGTGATGTTAGGACGTAGGACATTAGGTGTGGATACATCATTGAGAAACATTGACTAAGAAAAAAACAATGTGACGAAAGACAAAGAGATCCACGTGTAGTCAAGATGACTATAAGCAACAGGATTATCTCCATTAACATACGCGAAGCTATATATGTTTATTGTACCATACTAAGGAATACCAGACCTATACGACTATTCGAAAGGAAAGTAGTGGGAGATTTTATACGAAAGATAGCTGAGAAAGCCTTAGTTCAAAATAGATATCAGCTGCAAATTTGAATGGTTATAAGATATATGATAATGAGAGAAAACTACAATGAAGTATATTTAAAGGTAATAATGGAGAGGTAAGCATAAATCTTCCAAATGAACACCGGAATCGTCCTCTTAAACACTTGTAATAACTATTGGGTAAATCGCAAAGATAAGCTGGACAATAAGAAGCTGCACGAAGTGGGAAAAGAATGCTTTATTACAAGATTGCTTCATGAACAGAAAATCGATGTGTTTCCGATGGCCAGGAGTTTCTGGAATGGTAAGAATAATATGAGGATAGGTCAGCATCCAGTTGGGAATGTGACTCGTGATTTTTTGCTTTCGACATGTTTATTTGAACATCTATCAAACGCTGGTTAGACAAAAAGTTTCACAGAGTTTTTAGCGCCCCTTCGGACTCTTTCGAGGAGTATTTCGGAACCCTCCAATAGACAGCTTTAAACTTATGTGAGGTATCGGACCTCAAGAAGCGCTGGGATAAAAAAACAGACTTCTACAGTCTACCTCACTAACTTTCAGTCAAGAAAAAGGAGGAAGACAACAGCCACAGGCACCTGAATAAGAACAGAGGAAGCAAGCGCTCAGAAGTATACAGACTGCGATATCTAAATCCGACAATGAAATAAAAATTTTGCGGATCTACAATCCTGCACAACAACGTTGTTCGTCACGGCATGTTAGTCGACGATCCAAAAGCCAGTCAAACTAGATGTAAGAAACAAAGGGGTTCAAAGATATATTTGAAGAATTGTGGATAGGTCTAGAAGCATTTAATGTAAACCGACAGGTTGTTGTACAAGATTAGTTAAACGGTTTATACAAACGTGATCTGGTGAATATGGTTAAACTGGCACTTTCAGTTATGGACTTATCCGTTATCACTAGAAAGATTGACAGAACAGAATTATTTGTTATGCGAATCTTTCTGTTCCTACTGAAAGTTCGTTACAGTTGCAATACGCTTACTTCGAAAGGACTTTTGAGGAAGAAATAAAGGATTATAGTATACTTCGTTACCAGTACTACTATAATAATAGATCTAATTCTAAAACTGAAGAGATATCATGTTATGAATGCCTAATCTATAGAATCTTACGTGCATGTCATATCACTTTCTCTTCTGACTCGTCTTATCGTAACAATACGCGCGGAAACGTTTGGCGCTTATGAAGAACACATTTAGGCTAAAAATAGAATAGTTCGTTTAATGTGAGTAAAGACAGCTTATACAAAACGACCATGTCTGCGAGGCCGAGCCATGCTATCCAATTGAATGAATAAATGTTCCCGTGTTCTCCATTGTTAACCTTTTCGTGACAATCGTTGAATATTAATGTTTTCAAAAATTATGAACCCGGCTTCAGAGGTCGTGCAGTTGGGGTCCAATGCCATTACAGAAATACCGAAAAACTGGAAAATGGAATACCTCGTCAAGATTTCGCTTATATAAAGTCTTGGCATGTGCGTACAATACAGAATAAGTTTAAAACAGTGTAGATCCCGTATTATATAACGGCAAGCTGGCTTTCATCACGATTGGTCGTTCACAGATTAAGTCTTTGCACTGTTGATCACGAGCCAAGAAGTGGTAGGATGAAATTTGTCGCTGCACATCGACTTCATGGAATGCAAGAAAGTACTGGACATTTTAAACAGGAAAACGTTGTGGAATGTTTATCAACACTTTCGAGTACAGGACAAGATCTACGCTATCATATAGCTCTATTATAGGGATTTGAGTCGTGAAATCATCCACGGAGACTTCAATGATGATTAGGAGTATTTGAATTATAGTATGAACTAAGAAACCCAGAAGTAACGTGATTGGATCAAGAAGCACTAGATAAGCACAATCGAATGTAATGTATTCATAATTCAAAATCAAGCATTCAACAAGTACAAAGGAATCCTTAGTTCATTCAAACACCACAACATCACAAATCTATTCCAATTAGAACTGGTGCCAACCAAGTCTGGGTACTCTCAACTCTGTTCCTCCTGGTTGTTGAATGGCTTGTGATGACTTTTGCATCTCAGAAGAAGCATATGGTACAGTGGAAACCCTGAAATTCGCTAGGAGTCTTGGACTTTGCAATTGATTTGTTCCTTACGTACAATACGGAGAAACGAATGAAGAAGGAATCTGAGAATTAAGCTATGGTTTCTTTGGAAGTATGCTTCAATATTTATTATGAAAAGATCACAACAGTAGAGTACAGTTCAATTAGTTCTAACCAAAGCACGCCTCAAGGTAAATTTCTAAATTAGAAGGAAGCCTTTATGTACCTCGATAGTATCATTTTAACAAAGATTATCTGATGCAGAAGTTGAAACACGAAGTTAAACCAGGATGACCGCAATTAAAGAATTTCTGAAACGTAAAAGAAATGTCACTGAAAGCTAAAGTTGTAATTTCTAACGAGATCAAGCATAAAACTCGAGGAGGATAACGTGAATTCATGTTTTCTATAACACAAATGTTATAACTGCTGTACTGTACGGATCTAAAACATGAAAATCTGCCACAACTGTCATCTAAATGGTAAAGTTGTTTATGAACAATTGTCTGGGCAAGGTACTTAAAGTCGATTAGTCATAGACTTCAGCAATGGCCTACTGTGGCGGAGAAAAATCGTTTGCCAGCTATGGAAGAATACAAGTGATTTAAGTGGAACATTCTTGGTCAGTAAACTATACTACAAGTTAGTTCACACACAATCTTCCCTAGTTCTATTAGGTTTGTATATATGAACTATTTATAAGATTAGATCTGAAGTTGTGACTCGCTTCAGCAAATACCTCTATGATCTTGAGAAAACGGCAAACTTCTAACGTCTGCTCAAACTTATCCTGCAAGAAAATGGCTATCTGAATTTATAATTTGATCAACAACTGGTAATGTATGGTCTCGTTATAAATCTAGGGCACCAGATATTGTTGGGATCTTTATTTGACCTCTTTGGTGGTTCTTTGATTCAATCCTAAGTTGAAGTCCTCTTTCATTATGTAAATGTTTGTGAGGATATTTTCTCGTTCCAATATTATTTGCTAAGTTTCAATTATACTCTCATTACTCGGTTGTAAGTCAAACAGAAGACAATTATTGTGAATGGGAGGTTTATCTAAAAAATGGTAATATTACAAGATGTAATAATCTGTCAGATAAAGAGGAAGAAGGTATTTGTAAAATCTCGGCGATATGGTTGAGATTTTATAAATGCGTTCTTCTTCTTTAACGTCTCACATTAACTTGGCGCCCAAGTACTGCAAAACTATTCGATCAAATTTAGACGGAAGTTCTTATTTATTATTCTGCAATTGCATCAAATTATCGAAGGAAATGCACAATCTGTTAGATAGTTAATAAATTTACTGAAGTTTCCGATAAATGATTCCGAAAAACGATCTATGGTTCTGTCCGTATGTTTATAAAACATGTAACTTCCGGAACCAACGTAGAGAATTAAGTAGCTCCTAAGAGATTCGTTATTGTCTGTACGTTATTGATAAGTACAACTGGGTCCACAAAATTTTTCTTATGAATAACAACTCTGTGTTAATGCTATAGAAACACATTTTTCTTGATACTACACACAAGTTTATTTACAGTGAACATTTTCCTTCCAATTATTCCCCGTAATCCTAAATTAATCACTCGATGATGATTGAAGAGAGGAATTATGTACAAGCGTTTGTCATTTTATACTGTCACCACGTTATTAATAAAATAATCAAGGGAAGATTTTGTTTAAAACAAATATTCCAGTAAAACCGAGAGTAAAACGACCAAAAATTGAATATGAAAAGATAATGAGATTATTGACAGGGTAATCTCAAGAAATATAATGAATTATAGACATTAAGTTGATTTCGCTCCATCCCTCAGTAAGATAAAATAAGCAGAGATTTAAAATCTCTCCCTACTTAATCAAAGCTTCTTTAATAGTTTAACACCAATCTAATATCTATAAGTTTGAAGGTAGTGTGACTAAACACTTAAAAGCAAATTTACCACAGTTACATTATTCTTCGTGTCTGTTGGAATTAAAATC